GTTTCATATCATTGTACATCATAGATCAAACAAACGCTTTCAAAATAACTTGTCACCAATTAGAACATGTTCCAAGATAATTGTATTGATGTATCGGAAAGAGTATGAAAAAGATGAATTACAATGCCTTCACCTAATACAAAGAAAGAAAAAAAATTGTTATATTTATAATAGTTTAAAATAATTTTAAGTAGTTAACTTACCATTAAGCATTTTATCATTTTTGATTAAACAAATCAAACTTCTTTATTCCGAAAAGTTTAATTGTGATTAACGAATCGAATGACGAAATTTTCTTATAAATATTATAGTTTTTCAAACAACTTTAAAGATAAGTATTTTTTAGTTTTAGAATACCATTTTCCAATGGAATTAAACGCAAATATATTTAAAATTAACGTAAAACGTTATGTGTCAGTGTTAATATAAACAGCACATCGCTGTACGGTTATTGACTATAAAGATTTAAGTATTTCATTAGAACGGCAATTTTTAGATTACATCATAATAACAGTAACAAAATGTACTAACTACTCACTACTGTTACCAAACACTATACATTACAATACGGGACAGAATCGTAGTGGTTGCCTATATCTACATAATCAGGCGTTCACAATATACTTTCTTAGATTCCAACTAAAATAAACATTAAAAAAGAAGAAATAATTTTAAATTATATTTAATAACTTATTCTACATGTTATGATGTATATATTTGTAGGTTGGCTCATATATTAAAAGAAAATTAAACAAATAAAATGTATTATTAAAAAATTATACGATTTATTTATTTTATTTTCAAAACAGGCACAATTGCTTAAAGAAATAATATACAGTGATATACATTATATATATATACTTAAAAATAATACTAAAACCTACTAAGCGTAGAAAAAGATAGGTCGCATTAGCACTCAAAGACCAAAAAAATTTGAATAAAATAGTTAGTCAATAAAAAACTAATGCAAAAAACTTTCTAAACAAATTAGCGACTTTAGCTCTACTAGAACAAGGATTATTATTTCAAGACTAAATTCATAAAACACTCTAAAGGTAGAATTTATTATTAGAAAATAAGTGTAACATTAAAACTAAAATGATTGAGTTAGTTAATCGTTACATACTTATAATTCCTAATATTTGTATAAATTGTAAATTCTTATTTATAGATAAGAAATTAAATGTCACTACAAATTCTTTTATAAAAAAAATGTAATAATCAGCTACAATTTAAGACTGTAAAAAACAAAAAAGTTAAAAAAAAATAATGAGTTTATAATAAAGTGTATATACAGTTAATAAATTACGAATGTATTTCTTAAACACACTATAAAATAATTATAAAACACAAAATCATAGACACCGATATAACTTTCTTATCATTGACTGTCCCGTATTGTAATGTACATATAGTCACAGATATATATAATAAACTAGATTGCTAACTAGCGATAAGAATTGAAGCCGACGGTCCGCCATCCTAGTGGGATTTATGTGTGTTATCAATGCATATAATATACATAATTATATCAATATTATATATATATATATGTAATTGTTATAAACATATATTATTCTCGCGTGATAAGGTTCTAATTCCCACCGAAATGGCGAAAAGTGGCTGCTTCAATCTTCTCTATTGGTGGCATGTACGGTTAGCAATCTAGTTTATTATGTATATCCATGTGTATAGTATTTGCTGTTACTAAAACGATTCGTGGTCACTTGGTCTGACTGGTCTTGATATTGATAGGTAAAATGTTTAACCCTTCACTGCATGAATTTTGTTTTTTAACCATATGCTATAAACGTACTTAATACTACTTAAAAAAATAAAAATACATTTTTTTTTTTTTTTTGAGTTTTGGTTTCATGGAAAACGCTAATTAAAGAATTTTACCAAATATTGAACATTGTGCAGTGAAGGGTTAACGCGTTTGTAAAAGATAAGAATTTAGAGTAATATTATAGCAGGTATAATTTAGACTACAGCTAAATTATCAAAACAAGCGTCGTATATTATCTTGTTATCTGTTGACAGATTCATATCATTCAAATATTCTTATTGGAACTTGCATGTACAGCAGCTATCCGCGCATTGACTTAAGCGTCTCTTAAATATTGCTGAAAGAATATTTTACCTCCTACCCCGCACGTCTATTACTTCAAATGCTAATAACTTTAAAACTAATATTTGGCACTAAGCTTGCGCTATGTCATTTTTTTAAAAATAATACTGTCTATCTAAAAACGAAATTATTTATAGGGGTTACCATTTGAAAATCAAAAGTTGGTGTCGAGTTTTTTAGGAAGGGGGGGGGGGATACAAAAAAAAAATTATTATATAATAAGTTAGTATTTTATACACAAACAAATTATTAAACATTTTTTTTTTGTAATAATCTAAGCAGTTTTTGAGTAAAGTAGTGTAGGGCGCTATAAGAATCACCCTGTACATATAAATCTAATTGGTTGATACATTGGACGCCAAATAAGTGATTTGATGTGCAACACTAACGTTTTGTAGAACTTAAAGCGGCTCTTAAGTCTTACCAGATCTATGTTTTTCCTAAGTGCGTCGAACGTCGGATTAATAATGCTTCATATGAAATTACAGTCAATACATGATCACATTTTATATTGACACAATTTTGAGTTTTTTTTTTTGCATTTATTAAAACAAAAAATTCTATCCTGAGACCTTCACTTCCATTGGACAACTCCTCTTTCTTTTAACGTTCTACTCTAGTTTACTCAAAAACTACTTATATTTTATCACTATCACTATGACTGCAGTAGTCTCTTATATTTTATTATCAATGTAAAATAGTTTGAATAATAACACTTTTTAATATTACACCTTAGTTAAATTTAATATAAATACCTTTAGTAAACTAAGTAACACCTTAAATGTTCAACAGTTTTATCGACAAATCTTTTTTTTTTTTCATTAGCCAACTGTACATTATTTTAATTCTAAAATAGATTTAAATTAAAAAGTTTCCAAACATAATGTAAGATAATATTTTATTTAATGACTCGTAAAATTCTGCAGTAAAATATTTGAAAGAAAAAATGTAATCAAAACATTGGAATATTGTTGTAACAATATAGTAGATTCAGTCAACAAGTTTTTTATTTGTTAATTTAATTAAATGGTACATTTAATGTTGTACCCGTGGTTAAAAATTAGGTATTATTGTTGTTGAAAGTAAAGTATCATTTATGATTGATCGAATCCTATCTTAAAATATAATTTAATTAGTACATTTAAAATGTACTCACCTTGTACAATACACATACGTTTTTCATGATTTTATTTTAAATCTTATACCTATTATAAATATATAGATAGCTATATGTAATATAATAAAATATAATTTATATTGTCCAATGGTCTTAGTGAATATTTTAGAATATAACTTAATAAATTTGATATTCTAATTTTTAAATTATTGTTATTGAAATAGGGTCACAGCAGGTGTTATTTTAGTACTTACTTTCAAACTTTAGTTCTTTAAGACACATACAAATATATATATATATATATATATATTAGATTAATCTTAGAATTTATCCGGCTTAGTAAATATGAGGCATCGGTGGAACATTTCAGTAGTTCAGTGAAAATTAGGTAATTAAAACGTTCTAAATTTATACTCATAAAATATATTCAAAACTAGTTTGGTGGGTTCAAATTATACTACAATTATAACATAATATGAAGTAAAGGGCATTTATTTTAATAAAATATCAAGTTTTATTAAAATAATATATATCATTTTTTTTAGTACAAGAGAACACATATCTAATGATTATAATTATATTGTATTTAAAAGAAACTGGTTATTTTTACGCCACTTTTTAGATCCGTCTTGTAAATAAATAAAACGTATTTGTCGTTCATAACTCAATTATGATTAACCGTTTTATATTTGGCTATTGGAATACTTTATTATTTCAAACGAATTAGTCCAATTATAAAATATATATATATCAATAACAAATTAAATATTGTGTAATTGTATGCAACAAAAAAAAAATGTATTACAAGGCGTATAAAGTAAATATGTTGTTTCCTTTTATAAAATACTAATTAATATGACTATAAGAACAGATTTTTTCTCAAGATAGAAAAGAGCAAGAGTACAAAAATGCATAACGTTTATTACAATAACAGGCTAATTATTGCAACAGCATTATTATTATTATTTTTGAATAATATTTCAATGTCTTAGATATTCCAAAACAATAATAATTTTACATACAGTTCTAACAACATGCAGTGAAAACATAAGGAAGGTAGAAACTTTTTCTGAGCGCTATTCGGGGACTTCAGATCTGAAATTAATAGGTTTGATTTAACCTACTAATAATTATCGTACTTAGTTTTGTATGAATAGTGCTATTCAGCAATTATTAATAGATTTATATTGTATGGATAACGTATCTTGTTCTTTAATACTATTATCTTATAAATTCAATCATCACTCTTGTTCTGCCAATAAGTGACATTGTAAACTAGAATTATTTATGTTTGAATAAAAAATATTTTATATATGAATCATACCCTTTGTCAAAACGAACATTGTATACTTCATAATTGATATTAATTATAATAGGATGTTATTGTAAAATTGTTATTTGCCATATTGTCGATAACAAAACGCTGTTAAATCATTAAATAATTAATTAGTACATTTAAATAATTATGCATTGAACAAGATTATGTAATATTCTATACTTTTTATAAATCGTTTTTATTATTATCAAACAGTGTATACGTCATGTCAAGCAGATTTAAAATTATTAACAAGACGGTTCTTTGTAAAACCGTATTGATCGCAATTAATAACTATAGATGAGTTAATATCTCAGAAACGGCTAAATAAAATCAATCAATCACTAAGTCGCCACCAAAATGCGGTGTTATAAATGAGTAGCAAATAACATAATAATATAAACATTATCAACAACTAATTTTACCACCAGATCATTATGTCTCTGAGATAAATGCTCCTTTATCTTTTGTGTAATTTTGGGAGCAAATCGTCTGCTATAGTTACGCCGCTGATTGTATGTATTGAATATAAATGGTTTGTTGGACTCGCCACAGGCTGCATTAATTGTATCAGCTTCTTGGTGGATTTATTCCAAATTACAGTGTCCGGTCAAGAAATCAAATTTGACGAAAACTTAAGTAAGTACTAAAAACCGAAAATATTATTATAATATATTTAGTAAATTTGCAATACTTTATAATTTTGTTCGTACATTTAATAAATAAGAACTACTAAAAATTCCTTTAACGATACAGCTAGAAAATAGATAGTTGTAATTTATTAAAAGCTACATTTTTTTTAAATTTAATGTGGAAAAGTGTTGTGCTATTTAGATGAACGAACAATTTCAAAGGTATAAATAAGAAAAATAATTGTAGTTTATAAGTCCTTAATGACAAAAAAATTTTAAAAAAATTAAAAAAATTTTTTTTTGGACATATGTAGTTAAATTATGTTTTTATGACCCATGTCATCTTTGAACCAATTAAGTTTTTTATTGCTATGAATTTACTGCTTCAAACGTGGGCGGTAAGCTGAAAACTGTCTACTTTAATGATCCACAACACAAACGTGACTGAACGAAAATTTTTCTAATTTATGCAATACTTACTTATAAGTGACATCTGGTAAAAGTTTGGTGTTGGGGGTCATTTAAGTAGGCAGTTTTCAGCAAACCACCCACGTATGAAGCCTTAAGTTAATAGCAAAAAAAACAAAACTTATTTGGTTCAAAGACGATATGAGTCATAAGAACATAATTTAAATTTTATACATACAAAATATTTGTTTTTGATTTAATTGTCTTTAAGGACTTAAAAAGAATGTATGATAAAAATTTCAAACATTACTGAAATATAGTCGCACAACCCATAGATGATTTCACGTGACCTTGTTTATTTTAACCAAAAAAATTTTAACTTTTCTCAAAACGTACCCCAAACGTCTAGTTAAGTTTAAAAAAATAATAACATTTTTTTTATGAGGCATAATGCTAAATATTTTTATTTCAAATTTGTTTGAACGTTGAAAATAGTAGTTACTATCATTATGCACATATAAAAATACCAGTATTAAAAATAATTTAAAACATTTTTATTTAATAAACTATACATTAAATTGTATTAATTAATATTTTAAAACACTTTATACGCAAACATATTTGATTTGTTTTTCAAACGCTTGTTAAATAAAACCAGAAAAAAAATAAATACAATGTTATTCATTATTTAGTACAAAAAAAAGTGATATACAAATTACACGATTATAATTTGTATAACTAGTGGCATGTTTTAATCTAACAAGTGAAATAATATTTTTCCTGTAATATAAAGTATTATAGCATAAGTTCTTATTAAAAAAAAAATTTTTGATTGTTATCATTAAATAATATACTATTACTTGGGCCGATTATTAACCGTTTTCCAAGAAAAAAAACACTTTATTTTTATCTTTTACGTTTTATATTTTTACATTTTTTTTTTCAGGAGTCCGTCATAATATGGCCTATTTTAGAAACAGAACTGTAATAAAGCACAGTTTATTTACAATACTTTTGTGTTTGTATTATATTCAACATGGCGATGCGTTTTCAAGGGACCGTCGAGATTTGCTTGAAGACATAGCTAAAGCAGCAGCGGCTTCTGTTGCGGGTACACAGAACGAGGCTTCTTCAAGTTGGGATGCTACTAAAGATATTGCAACTATAACAGCTAAAGTAGTAAATGATACTGTTGAGGGTACAAAGAACACGACTACTTCAAGTTGGGATGCTACTAAAGATATTGCGAAGAGTTTGCCGCCTAGGAGCCGTCGGGGTTTCCTTAAAAACTTAGATCAAGCTGCAAATGCTACTGTTGAGGGTACAAAGAACACGGCTAACTCAGCTTGGGGTGCTACCAATGATTTTGCCAATAAAACAGCTCAAAAAGCAAGTGATGCGGTTCAAGATCCAAAGAACACAGCTTCTTCAAGTTGGAATGCTACTAAAGATTTTGCAAATAAAACAGCTCAAGCAGCAGATTCTGCTGTTCAGGGTACAAAAAACATGGCTACCTCTGCTTGGGATGCTACTAAAGATTTTGCGAAAAGTTTGCTGCCCAGAAACCGTCGGGATGTGCTTGCCGACATAGCTAAAGCTACAAACGCTGCTGTTGAAGGTACAAAAAACACGGCTAATTCAGCTTGGGGTGCTACCAATGATTTTGCCAATAAAACAGCTCAAGTAGCAAGTGATGCGGTTCAAGATACAAAGAACACAGCTTCTTCAAGTTGGGATGCTACTAAAGATTATGCGAATAAAACAGCTCAAGCAGCAGATTCTGCTGTTCAGGGTACAAAAAACATGGCTACCTCTGCTTGGGATGCTACTAAAGATTTTGCGAAAAGTTTGCCGCCTAGAAACCGTCGGGATTACCTTGAAAACATTGAAATGACAGCAAAGGCCCTTGCAGGTAAAACAAAAATAGGTAACTCAGCTGAGGATGCTACTAAAGATTGTGCAAATAAACCAGCTGAAGTAATAAATGATACTGTTGAGGGTACAAAAAACACGGGTAAATCAGCTGACGATGCTTTGAATCATGAATATATATTAGCAAGGGATACTGTTCAGGATACAAATAACATGACTGCTTCAAATTTGAATGTTACTAAAGATTTTGCGAAAAGTTTGCCGCCTAGAAACCGTCGGGATGTGCTTGCCGACATAGCTAAAGCTACAAATGCTGCTGTTGAAGGTACAAAAAACACGGCTAATTCAGCTTGGGGTGCTACCAATGATTTTGCCAATAAAACAGCTCAAGTAGCAAGTGATGCGGTTCAAGATACAAAGAACACAGCTTCTTCAAGTTGGGATGCTACTAAAGATTATGCGAATAAAACAGCTCAAGCAGCAGATTCTGCTGTTCAGGGTACAAAAAACATGGCTACCTCAGCTTGGGATGCTACTAAAGATTTTGCGAAAAGTTTGCCGCCTAGAAACCGTCGGGATTACCTTGAAAACATTGAAATGACAGCAAAGGCCCTTGCAGGTAAAACAAAAATAGGTAACTCAGCTGAGGATGCTACTAAAGATTGTGCAAATAAACCAGCTGAAGTAATAAATGATACTGTTGAGGGTACAAAAAACACGGGTAAATCAGCTGACGATGCTTTGAATCAGGAATATATAATAGCAAGGGATACTGTTCAGGATACAAAGAACATGGCTGCTTCAAATTTGAATGTTACTAAAGATTTTGCGAAAAGTTTGCCGCCTAGAAACCGTCGGGATGTGCTTGCCGACATAGCTAAAGCTACAAACGCTGCTGTTGAGGGTACAAAGAACACGGCTAACTCAGCTTGGGATGCTACCAATGATTTTGCCAATAATACAGCTCAAAAAGCAAGTGATGCGGTTCAAGATACAAAGAACACAGCTTCTTCAAGTTGGAATGCTACTAAAGATTATGCGAATAAAACAGCTCAAGCAGCAGATTCTGCTGTTCAAGGTACAAAAAACATGGCTACCTCAGCTTGGGATGCTACTAAAGATTTTGCGAAAAGTTTGCCGCCTAGAAACCGTCGGGATTACCTTGAAAACATTGAAATGACAGCAAAGGCCCTTGCAGGTAAAACAAAAATAGGTAACTCAGCTGAGGATGCTACTAAAGATTGTGCAAATAAACCAGCTGAAGTAATAAATGATACTGTTGAGGGTACAAAAAACACGGGTAAATCAGCTGACGATGCTTTGAATCAGGAATATATAATAGCAAGGGATACTGTTCAGGATACAAAGAACATGGCTGCTTCAAATTTGAATGTTACTAAAGATTTTGCGAAAAGTTTGCCGCCTAGAAACCGTCGGGATGTGCTTGCCGACATAGCTAAAGCTACAAACGCTGCTGTTGAGGGTACAAAGAACACGGCTAACTCAGCTTGGGATGCTACCAATGATTTTGCCAATAATACAGCTCAAAAAGCAAGTGATGCGGTTCAAGATACAAAGAACACAGCTTCTTCAAGTTGGAATGCTACTAAAGATTATGCGAATAAAACAGCTCAAGCAGCAGATTCTGCTGTTCAAGGTACAAAAAACATGGCTACCTCAGCTTGGGATGCTACTAAAGATTTTGCGAAAAGTTTGCCGCCTAGAAACCGTCGGGATTACCTTGAAAACATTGAAATGACAGCAAAGGCCCTTGCAGGTAAAACAAAAATAGGTAACTCAGCTGAGGACGCTACTAAAGATTGTGCAAATAAACCAGCTGAAGTAATAAATGATACTGTTGAGGGTACAAAAAACACGGGTAAATCAGCTGACAATGCTTTGAATCATGAATATACAATAGCAAGGGATACTGTTCAGGATACAAAGAACATGACTGCTTCAAATTTGAATGTTACTAAAGATTTTGCGAAAAGTTTGCCGCCTAGAAACCGTCGGGATGTGCTTGCCGACATAGCTAAAGCTACAAATGCTGCTGTTGAGAGTACAAAGAACACGGCTAACTCAGCTTGGCAGGCTATGAAAGATTTTGCGAATAAACCAGCTAGAGAAACGGGTGACGCTGGTAAGAGTACAACGGACACGCGTCCTCCAGATCCGGAACTTTTTGAAAATTTGCCGCCTTCATTAGTAGATGACACTGATGAGGATACATCGGACTCGGAACCTCCACCTTGGGAATCTATTAACAATTTAGAAGATAGAATGCCGCCTGCAGAAATGGATGAAACTGAAGAGGATATATCGGACATGGGTCCTCCAACTTGGGATGTTAAAGGTATAAAGAGAAACATGCCGCAAAGGGTCCGTCGGGATTTGCTTGACGACATAGGTAAAGCAGCAAATGCTACTGTTAAGGGTACAATGAACGTTAACTCAGCTTGGGATGCTACTAAAGTTTTTACGAATAAAACAGCTCGATTAGCAAGTGATACGGTTGAACATACAAAGAACACAGCTGCTTTAGCTTGGGATGCTACTGCAGATTTTACGAATAAAACAGCTCAATTAGCAAACTCTACTTTTGAGGGTACAAAGAACACGGCTACTTCAAGTTGGGAAGCTACTAAAAATTTAGGAAGAATGTTGCCGCCTAGAGACCGTCGGGATATTTTGCTTGACGACAATGCTAAAGCAGCAGTTATTCCTTATAAGGGCACAACGAAAACGACTACTTCAAGTTTTAATCTTACTAGAGATTTTGAGGACAGGTCCAATAGGTTTTGAACATAGTTATTATTATTGATGTGTTTTTTTTTTTACTTTAAATCTCACAGAAAGGTGTAAATGTCATACCACACAATTAATATCAGCGCATACTAGTATCAATGAATGTTACATTATATGTCAAACAATTCTCATTTGTATATATTTTTTAAATATTGTCTAAATATCTTATAGCTGCCTTGAAAACTAAAGGTTATTTTAATAATAATAAAACTGTTATATTTAAACATAGGGATATTACTTTAAGAACACTAATCATTTTTTGAGCTTTGTACAAATGTATTTTTTTTATTTAATATTTTATTATAATCATAATTATGACATATCCTTGTGATTACAATATAACATCGGTATATACATAATATATAGGTATCATTAAATAAACCATGGCAGCTGAATAGGAACAAAGTTATTTTTTACCCAGCCTAGTTTTTTTTATTAATGCGGTCGTGATATTTAAATATTATGTTTTTCCTATTTATATAAAATACTAATTAGTATGCATAATGAAAGGTGATTCTATTGCGAGATGAACAAGAGCAAAGTACAGATATTTCATAACATTTGTTTACGAGAAACTACTTTCAACTAAATTAAGATTAATTTAAGGACTAGGACACCACCAAACAAAATGTATGGACGACCTAATTAGGTGGAGGTAATATATTTAATTAACTACATTGCTAATGTAAGAATATTACACCGGTCACAAACAAAAACGGTTGGAGATGTAAAGACTTTCAAATAGGTAAACATTAATTTGATAATATCTACTATATTTATTTAAATGATAAATTAATATTTTTGAAAATTTTAGACATAGCTAATAAAAGTATATATATATTGTAAAATACAAATTTAAAAACATTATTGATACGATGAAACAACCATGTCTTAATCTAGATTGAAAGTATTTAAAACATATTCATACTTTTATTTGGGATTTACTAAATTAAAAAAAAAATTTTTATTTTTATATTACAGTTAGTAATTTACCATCGAAAATAAGTTTTGTTTATCCTATAAAAGTATTATGCTCATTTTTACAAGTTTGGGTTGTTCTTGAGGTGTTGGGATACTACTCTTTTATCCCCTTATCTCTATTTATTACAATAACAAGTGTTGACTGTATCCAACAGGTCTTCCCTACTCTTACGCCGGCTACGTCACTGGATGTATGTTTTGAATAACAAACATACTCATGTGGTCTTATTCACGGCAGTGATGTTCTTGTTTCCTTGCCCACTACACTTGAAACGGTCAAATATAGTGTGACCGGCCAGAGAAGGTAAATAAGATTTCATAAAACAAAAGTAAGTACTAAAAATCAGTAATTGAAATTATATAATATATTTAATCATTTCACAGTACCTAAGTACCTTTACAAAATACCCATATTAATGATTCAGTAGATAGTTATAATATTAAAAAAAACATGATACAACAACATATTGTTATGACGCGATAGCACCTTTTGTGTAAAGAAATCATTTACCCCCCAAAAAAAGGGTAAACGAATCCCTCCCCCCCCCTAAAAAAATGTGATAAATGTATGCATAAGAACTATCACAAGATTCGATGACGATTTTGGCTGGAGTTTGATTAATCATAATTTCATTATAACATGGAAACGACTAGTTGGTGACGGCCTTGGAACTGTTTACTGACCAGTCATTTGTTTTTATTAGATAATATTCTCATTCAAATAAATAAACATTATTTTTTACATCGTATATTTGATTATTTTTTTTTTTTATTTAAAAACACTAACTCTTTAAACCAACATAACCTAACGCAGATAATGTTTTTCAAATCTTGCTAGTTCATAACTATAAAACCAAATGACTAGCATCATGCACATGTACTCAATATTATATTCCTTTGAACGTTATACAGTTATCTTTCGTACGATTACATATTTTTAATGCGTCAATTATTATTATGATTTATATTTGACAATGTGTTTTCCATCTTTCATGTTTTACATTCATTTTCTCATTGACTAGTTTGATCTTATGATTGAAGAATGGACCGGGCGTATTTAATACATAAGCAGCAGTGTTCAAAAATGTCAAAAGTAAATTGTATGTTACACATACATATTATTTAAATTACTAATTTTGAACATAACGTTACAATGAAAATAATGACTAGTCGTAAAAAACCATTGTCTAAACATTTAATAACTCAAAATTTAATTGTTCAAAACTGGTTATCTGCCAACCTAATCTAACCTCTGAGAATCTAATACAAAGAATGCTAATTTTTTACTTTTAAAATCTATTCCTTATTATTTTCTCTTGAAAATAGGGGTTTTAACATTATTTAGAATTTCAATTTTGAATTATCACGTGAAATTATTATAATATATGTTATATTGGTTAGGTTTCTAGGTGGCTAGGCCACTGGTTTCTATATCAATTAATAACATAATGTTGTATAGACTACTTAGGAAATATATGTTTCATGTTTCTAATAGATTCTAACCGTACTCAATTGACGTGTCCATTTTCACCGTCAAAAGATGAAGCTCAACGGATTATGTCTTTTATCTGTGATGCTAGTTAGTTCTTTGAATTTCGTTGCGGGACATTCTTATCATTTGGATCAACGTCCTGATTTTGAACCTATGCCTGATTTCGCAATGGACAAAGTAAGTCTGAGTGAAATGGACCAAATCAAGGAAGTAATAAATGTTTATGGGTTTACTAAATTTTCATCGAATGTGACTTTAATAAACTTTGATAACCAACGAATAGCCGAAGCCAAAAAAAAGTGGGTAAAAAAAATATTATTTCATTAAACTTACGTTAAAAATGTTATGAATAATAAAAATACAATGATCGCACTGAATTTATTTTAATTGGTTATTATTATTATCATCGTTCATAATATTATAACTGAATCAAAATAGTTTAATTAAAAAAATTCTTACAAATTATAACAATAACAAAAACAATATTATATAAACACAATAATAACATAATATTAGTGTTGCACAGTCAGTGGTAACAGCAAACCACCTTAGTAAATAATAATTTTTTTAATGATAATAATATGATGAGATGTAATTCTTTGTATTGTACAAAATACTTTGTTATTATACAAGTAAACCAATTAATTCTACAATATTATATATGTACATATGGTAACCAAACCGGAAATGTTAACAAAACAAGCTATACCGAGATACACAATTATAATGATAAACAATGACTTTCATTTTCTCTTCTACATAAAAAATAAAAGGAAAAAACACGTATTGGTTCAAGGTCAAGTCTGTTTATTTACACTTTTTATATATATTTTTTTTTACAACACCGCTTAAGGTTTCGTAAGTTTTTTTACTAATAATCATTTTATGGAAATTTTATGAAAAATATTATGAAAATAAGCGTAAATTATTTTGTGAGGCGAATTTACATCAAACAAATTTTTTAACACTCAAAATTCACAAAAACAACCGACTACTGTTTTAAATTCTTACGGGCGTCTATGCATATGAAAATACTTTTAAACTTGAAAATGTTTTAAATTAAAAATGTTTAAGTGTATCACGTTTTTGATTACAGACATATGCATGACTTCCTAGATAATAGATGAAAATCAGTTTTATTGGAATGGGGTTCGTTAAACATTTTTTTTTCAGACCATTATTGGACAGGGAGTGCCTACTAAATGCTTAATCGTTGTGAAGTTAATACCTTCTCAGCTCCTCGTTGAAACTAAAATAAAATTGTTGTGTGTTGTGTTAAAAGGCCACATAAGAAAAACATTGTTACATTTGAGGCGCTCAGATGTCAAACCGATTGACTCCATTTTTTTTTCAAATTGCATGGTTGTATTAAAAAAGTCTAAAATTTTCAGTGGCCAAGATAAATAACTCCATAGTGGAATTTTTCACCACTAGAACGAGCTAAGAAAACTGGAAATTGTACTTGCATACATTGTTTCAGATAACTTTAACTGCCAGTTAATCAGTACGGCTTCTGAGCGCCTCGTTTAATTCCTATGCACTAATCCGTGGTTTTTTGTTAATAGTTTTTAGGAACGTGGTATGCCGTGCAAACGACTTCAACGTCAAGGCCGTGTGTGATGTATGAGTTTACAAACTCACCGGAACAGGATCTGACCAATACAAATTGTATCAACTGCACAAACTGTGTAAGTTGTGTTAATTGCAGAAACTGTGTAAATTGTAAGTCTTGTACAAACTGCACAAATTGTCAAAGACAGTACAAGCTGTACAGGTTGTAATAACTTAAGAGGCTGTACAAGCTGTACGAACTGCGATAACTGTACGAATTGTCAGCATTGCACGAAATGTGTGAATTGCAATGACAGCATAAGCTGTACGGACTGTACAGACTGCAGACAGTGTACAAGCTGCACGAATTGTAGAAGCTGCACAAACTGTAGAAGCTGCACAAACTGTACGGATTTATCGAATTGCACGAGTGCTACAAATGTATCACACACCTGTCCCCGGTACCGAATGACACAAACCAATGGAGATTCACCGAGAAATTCAGCAAGAAATTCACCGAGAAATTCAGCTGCCAGAGCCAACAATTACCAATACGTCGGTCTGCTGCAACCCGACCCGAATGTGCCGTCCAAGATGTCTGTTTCCAGCCTTCCGTGTCAGTATTTTCGACCGGTTCGATCGAACGGATTTACATAAAAAAATAAAGTAGCTACCTGATTAATTTAGTAATTTATATGATTTCCATTGCAGACGTGCCGGGGAAATCGCCGTTCGTCGTGTTCGCCACTGATTATGTAAACTATGCGGGCGCATACTCTTTACAGAGAAAACCGTCCGGCCACAAATATGCTGTAACCATTTTGTCGAGATCAAAAGTCTTGGACAAAAGGTACCTGGATAAGGTAAATACAAACAAAAAAAAAAAACGAACAATTGCTTTTCTACAACTTGTTAGGTGACGTTTGTGCAAAAGACACGGCTAGTAGTAATGTATCTGCATGAAGTGTAGATACTCTTGACTTTTTTTTTTTTTTTAGGGTATTTTTATCACTTAGTTTCAACACAAATCATCTCAGTAAAAAAAAAAAAATAATAATAATGTGCTTTTTTTTTAATTTACAGTTGCACGACCTAATAGGTTCATCCAGAACGAGTCCGTATGCTCTGTCAGTCGTCGATCAATTGAACTGTAACCCTACTAACCAGAATTTCAACGTTGAAAGTAATGAAGAACCGTTTAGTGGTAATAAATATAAATACACGGTCACCAACGGACAAAGCGTCGGCAATGTGATTGACGATGACAAGAATGTCTACATTTCGGTCGTCGATGAGATCAATCCTGAAGCCTTTAATGTTTGAAACAAATCATGTTTAACTTTTAGGTGAACGTTATCTTTAATTTAGTTTTACCACAATTTTGTAAATTTAAAACAAAATCCAATAAATTTTAAAACAGGTCCCAGGCATCTATAATAATTGCATTAAGTCAATATTAAATAACACACTACATCTTAATTACTTTCAATAGCAAATTAATGGTTAAAATGTCATTACAAACAATACCTCACAAAAAGTGCATACAATGTTAACAACACAAAATGCAAATGATGCAATTTATGTAGATTCATTTTAATAGATTGCCACATTTTCCTGAAATCTAAATAAAAATTTTAATGACTTAATATAACGTCCATGTTTTGGTTATGATCAAAAAAAAATATATAATTCATGATATAATATTGTACAGGGTAAATTTTTTAACGCCGTACAATAATTGTTGTTAAAAAATTATTCAGATCAAAAATGTTTATTTTATATTTAAATTGTTACGGTTTAATACAATTTTTATATTGAAAAAAAATACACTGAATTATAAATGATTTATTACTGCATGTCATAAATTGTATAGATTTCATATAATTTTGTTATAAAGAGATCATTTTTGTTCAGGAATATTTGTTTAGTTCAGAAATATCCAATTAAGATATTTAAGTTCTTGCCTGTTCTGTTTGTAAAAATTAATTATTAGATAAAATATATAAGTGTCTTCAGTATGTGTAATTTTTCTTTATTTGATTGGCGTGTCAGACGTTACTTTGATAATAAGTAGGTTTAAAATAGAATAATCAGTTTAGTAATGGAAAATTTTAAGTAAGAGATTATGTTTGAAAAGCAAGTGGTAAAAGTGTTAGAAAATTTCAAGTATTTGGGCTAAGTCATATCAGAGAAAACTGGAATTGAAAAAGACAAAGCAAGTGGACTGAAGTGTAGTTAGATGCGGTATGAAAAAGGCAACAAAAGGTGTTGTGTTTCAGGAATTTTTGAGATGGATGTGTAGAGTGACTAGGTTAGAGTGTTGGACGGAATGATGAGGAATAAGTAAAAAAAAGGAAGTTTAGGATTTACAGCTCTATAATGAATTAAAATCAAACGGTACCAAAGGATAAATTCGGGTTAAGGTAACAAAATAGATACAACAAAATAATTTCTAAAGTAATATTGTTCATATAGTTGCATTACAGCGTAAGGTGATAGGTTTATTGTATTTTTTCACAGTAAATAACTTAAGAATTCATTGTTACTTAATCTACCTTAAAGAATTCATAGAAATGTAGACTTTCTTGTCACCAACAGCTTGTCCGAGGTTTTCACCCGCCTTGGTGCCTGCAATCATATTTTTTGGATTGAACTGCTGGTCATTAGATTCTAGACTGATATTCTCGTCCAGATGATTGCAGTTTGATTGGTCAACGATTGACAGATCGTATGGACTCACGTTAACCGAAGCCATTAAGTTGTGCATCTTTCAATTTCAAAAAAAAATTACATTTTATTCTCAATTGCAAAGATTCAACATGATAAAACCATCTTTTTTGGTATCCCCAGATAACATAGATTCTTACAAAGGCCACTTTAATTTACCTTATTTAGGTACGTTTTGTCTAAGACTTTGGATCTCGACAAAATGGTTACAGAATGTTTGTGGCCGAAAGGTTTTTTTTGGCAAGAGTATACACCTGCATAGTTTACATAGTCAGTGGCAAACACAACAAAAGAAGATTTCCCCGCAACATCTGCAATGTGAATTAAACAAATTACCAATAAGGTGAAAATCTATTTGTTACATAATTCTCATCTAACATGTTGGAAATATTCTGAACTCAAGTACTTACTCAGAGGAGAATTACTTGTCATTCTTGATGGCAAACTTTTATCAGCTTTCAATTGTCCAACATAACGGTTATTATTGGATTTAATTATTACATTGACTTTAAAATTTTCGATAATTTGTTCAAATTTAGTCGATTGTGAGCAATTAGTGTTTGTGCTATTTGTTCTATTCATACAATGTGACAAATTACTACACGTTGTACAATTTGTACAATATTCGCATACTCTACAAGTTGTACAATTTAGGCAACCATCACAGTTGTTACAACTAGTACAATTTGTACAGTTTGTGCAGTTGTTGCAACTTGTGCAATTAACACAATTTACACAGTTTGTACAATTCGTGCAAGTACCATCGTTGAATTCCTGTGTGAACTCATACACCAAACACGGACTTGACTTTGGCGTCTCTTGTACGGCGTACCATGAACCTAACAGCTTTTAAATTAATAAGAAATTAGCACACAAGATCCAATTAAGACAGTTTTTAGGTTTTCTTTTTTTGGTATTAATTAGTAAATGTCCAGAAGACTACAACTAAGAATAACTAACATACTTTTTTATTATTAATTTTACAATGATATGTTTTTCACACAAAACCTTTTAAGATTTAGGAATACAAAAGACATTTATTGGTCCCTTAAAACCTGATTGACTGGACCGGTTATGATTTAAAGTTAATAAAAGTGCTTTACGTTGGTGGCTGCAAATATATCGTCAGTATTTAAAAATAATTAAGCATAGCATGGGTACCTAACACGTTAAAAAAGGGCCCACTAAGGGTTACACTAATGTGTTTATTTTATTGGAAATAGTATATTTTGTGTTTACCAATAAAAATGTTCTCCTCTAAACAAACAGGTTTTCTAAGACATTTTGTATCAATAAAATTCATTAAAATTTGAGTTCTTCCTGTTTTTGAACTCTATATTTCTAAAGACCCATTTTTTAATTGGATTAGTATTTATCTAGCAAAATGTATCATTAATTTAAAATTGAACACGGTATATTAAAAATAAAATAAAATTAGTACCTAGTTGTTCAGTAATTTTATAATATAACCTGCCCATCTGCGTCAAATACATTACTTGGACTTACTTTATCCATTACAAACTCAGGCATAGGGTCGAAATCGGGACATTGGTCCAAATGATATGAATGCCCCGAAACGAAATTCAAAGAGCTAGCTAGCAACACTGTTAAAATACATAGTCCTTTGAACTTCATCGTATGACTGTGAAAATGTATTATATCCTTTATCAATGGACACTGCAATGGCGTGCGATTAGAATCTATTAAAAACATATAACATCTAACACTGTAACTACAATATACCTATTGTATGGCTGAATAATAATTGTTAAATGAATTTTGGGTAGTTTTGGCGAGTGACTGCAAAATGAATAAATGTTTTATAATTTTAACCACGGTTTTAGTACTTACTTGTTTTGATATGTTACTTGCTTTCTTGATCGGTCACTGTATACTTGTTTATTGGAGGTGCATCCGCCGAGAACGCAAACCAATCACTACTGTCTGCTATGAGTCTGACAAACTATTTATAATATTCAGTATAAACGATAATACAGCCAGTAACACTATTCATATATTCTCTAAATATATAAAAAAAGGGTTTTCAATTTTTTCACTCTAAAGAATAAGTATACCATCTTATACTAATTTGGAAAATCCACCAATAAATTTTCTTAATTTGATTTTGATTTGTATTTTATAATGGCTTTAGTTTAAAAAAAAAATGGAATAGTTAAAAAATGATTATATTACTTCTTCGAAGGTTACTATATTTCGTACCATTTTTGTCCTTAAAAAGTTAACAACATAATAGGCTGACTATACAGGGTGATACATTTGATACTTTTTTTTCCTATACTTGTAGGTACATGTTTTACTATATTTTTCAGTACGTTGAGCATTTTCAACATCTAAGACTGTCAAAGTTGTTTTTCCGAATAGCAAACATACATTTTTAAGTCGATAAATGGGTAGTAAAAAATTAAATTATGTAATTTTCCTTTGAATTTTAAATATAAGGTTAAGTTTTTGCGCGTGGCTACTATTTAATGATTGGTCACTTCTAAAATGATGTCACTAACTTCTCATGTTAGCACATCCACCAGCCTGCATCCAATCTGCTTTTATACAATAAATTATATACTACTAGAAATAAAAGTTTTTTCATTAATAGCCACAATAAATTAAAGTTTTGAAACAGCTATGAATTTAAAATACTTTACTATATGCTATTATGTAGTGTTTCTTAATTCTTAACGTCATATTGTAATTATTAGTTTAATTAAAACTATATTTAAACCTAATTAACATGTTATTGAATGTATTATGCAATTTTTGTACTCTTGTTCCTTCGACAATCTTTTTAACCTATACTAATTAGTGTTTTATAAATAGAAATAACATATTTACACATATTCTTAAACCATATTTGTATTGTGTATAATTGTTTTTTAGCATTTAGTTTATTATGAAATCATAATTTTGATATGACCAATTATTCGTTTAAAATACTAAAACATTTATTGTATATTAATTCGCGTCTATATTATAATGTGTATTTTTTTTATTTATTCGCTTAGGTCATACTTTAACTACCTGCCTATTTGTTATCTATTTTAGAATCGTTATACCTTGTTTCTTCTTCTTGATGCAGTACTTTAATATTTAAGTGGGTGAGTGTGTGTGAATTATGTAATAGAAAGAAGGTTCTTAAGTAAATTATATTAAATTAATTCAACTAATACAGTGTTATGCTTTATTAGTCAAAATGGGTTGGAACACAGTATTATGTTCTTTATCGAAAAAACCAGTACAGTGGGGTCGGGGCTTAGTGGGGGCGGGGAGGTCACAGGTTTATAGGAATTTTTAAATCTGTAAGTGATAAAATCATTTTCGAAAAAACGCTTCGATGCAAATCGGTAGTCAGTATTTTCAAGCCGGTACAGTCCAAACCAAGCACAGTGTAAACCAGCAAAGTTAGAAGTATTAAATTGAGATTAAGCAACGAGGGGACGGAGAGGTCACAGGTCTACAGGAATTATTAAAAATAAAAGTGATAAAATTGAATAAAATCGCTATGATTTTTTTTTAATTTTTATTAAAGTATTGTTCAGTCCATTTTTAAAATGCGGTTAGGTTAAGCGTTGTCTCGAAAACACAAGTTCTTTTACTTTAGAAATCCACTGGTAAGATTTGATGTGCGTTTTCCATTATCACTGTTTACATAAATGAAAATACAGTAACCGTTTGTGTAAAAAAAAAATGTGTACACGTTCAAAAGACTGTAAACATTATTTACATACCCATATGGAGCTTACATTATAATAACGTACACCTAACGTCGACAAAACACCTATACAGGATCTTAAGCGTTTCACGGTCCACCCGACTTACTGGGGATTTTCTAAAAATATTAAAAAACCACATAGGTATGTGAATCGTTTTTGATTTTCTATCATACTATGATATTTTATGGTCATTGGAATTTTTTTACTCTACGGTAAGAGGATTTAGGGGGGGATTGATTTTGGAAACTCTTATAGCAAACTTTTGATAGATATTTTTTTTAGTAGAACAGAATTTGATTGAACCTAAAAGTTGCTTTTAGGAACTTATTTAAAAAAATGCGATTTCTATAAAAAACATATTGTAATGCATTTTAACGACTCATTTTTAACTATTTATATAAATAAATAGGTTTTTTTTTTTTTAATATAAATATCCACATTTGAATCAATAGGTTTTAGTCAACCTCGAATCTAACCTTTTCATTACAACTATGGTTTTGGAATTTGACCAACGTTTATGGGTTTTCTAAAAAATTTAATATATATGCGGTAATACGAGAAAAATCAGCAACATAACATAAAAAAAAAAGTTTCCTACATTCAATTGACCACCCTGTATGTTTATGTGGTCTTCATCAAAATATAGAATGCAGTAGAATCAAAGTTGGCAAACATTTAAATACAAATAAGAGAATTTTCATTTGATAAAAGACAAAAATGTATTATGTGGTTTTTACCGATCGGCTATACCCATAATCGAATCGAATTTCCCTGTTCATCCGACTTTTGTCAACGAAGCTCAATTCTGGTAAGGTCAGGTTATACTAAACGTTAAAAAAAAAAACCATTATGCATTTCAAAATTATTGCTATTATTCTTTTCGCCATTTACTTCGCGACGGTGACACAGGTTAGTATAAAACATTAATAATAATAATAATAATTTCAACAAAACGGTCGGTAATTAATAGTACTTATGATACCTCATAGAGCATCGGACTCGATAAGAATCAAGTGCAAAAGATTTCGATTTTTTTCGAAGAACACGAAAAACCCTTAAGCAAAATTCCCGAAGAAGGTTTCAAAAAATTGGCGGATAATTTCGTCAAAACGATTGTTCAACTGTTGAGGCCATACGAAAAATCTTCAAACAAAATGGCAATGAGAGATATGGTGAAATTGGCGAATGAATTGGGAATGAAGAACTTTTCAAATTTTAAATACAACAAAGGTGACAAACTTTATTTGAACAGGTTTTACGTTTTTTTTGGTGATAACCGAATGTTGTCGGTATAAGATAACATCCGTCTTTTCGGTATTTAATATTTTATCAGCCTAACGCATTCAATGGCTTTAACGCGGTTGAAAACGGTTTACAATATTTTTAAATGTTTTCTTAACTACAGATGAGTCCGACGGTCAAAAAGTACAAGATCTATTGGTATATCTGGCCAGCCACGATAAGCGTACCGACGACTGGAGGAAGGTATTAACAAAACAAAATATTTAAAAAATTATGGAATTTAATTTTTTTTTTTTTTTTATTTCCATACATATTGATTTTTACATAGACGCCAAGCTTAACGTCTTACGAAGTCAGAATTTTCGGCGGCCTGTTTAATGAATTCGATATCTATGAGCCTCACGCTAGTCGACATCATTTGCTCATTGACTGTTTGAATCTACACAAGTCCGTCAAATACAGCTTATTGGACGTCTTAGACGTCCTACTAGACGAAGGTATTGTTGAACAAACTAAGAAAGTTAACTATGTATTGCCAAGTTCGATCATTTTTAATTAATTATTAGGCGACGGTGTAATTAACGCCGCGAAGTTCTTGGAAGGCTATTTGAGCGTAAAACCACGAGTATGTAAATAGTTTAGTCAAATACTAGATAAAATACATAACATATAGCTATTCTTTTGATATCCAAGTCTAATTACATTATTTGTAAATAATAATCTATTAGCATTAAAAAAAACTCCAGTCATACTTTTCTTATTTACATGATAACAATTGTACTTAGGGCAGAGGTCTAAGCGTGAATCAAGTTCACAACCTAATCAGATTACACAAAAATCACAAAACAGATGATGGTCACATTAAACCTGTCGAAATAACAAAGTTATTCAACAAGTTATCTATAGTTACAGAAGACCTTAAAAACCGATTGATTTTTCCATCCATCCGTAAGAATAAATTAATAATATTATCATGTTTCTTATTATCAATTGATATATTTAATAAACTTAAAAATATTAATTATTATTATAAATAATTCTTTATCAATATTATTCTATGCAGACTCTGCAAATTTACTTTTTATCTGTACAAATCAATAGGTAATAACTATCTTTTACTTAATTATATTTTATTATTTCAATATTTAAGATAAAATACGGTTTGTATATTTATTTACGAATATTTAATTAATGAACAATAATTTTAATCCGTAAATAATAAAATATAATCTATATGGTTTTATTAATTTAAGGGTGAACTCCCTTTTTATGTGTATTTTGATTATAGGGTCTGCTGCTTTGGAGTTGCAAGAGCTGTTGATTGTTACTGCAGAATACAACAATGAGGTCAACGTAAAAGTAATACTAATAATTTTATTTCGATTGGCTTTTATATCATTTTATGCACCACACATGAGATCTAACGAGGCACTATTGACTTTGATGATTTCTCAGACTTCCAGTGTATTGTCTACCAAGAAAGTGAGATCTTTGATGTGGGAGTTCTCTACACACGACAAAAACAAAAACGGTTTGCTCGATAAAGCCGAACTTACAGAAATTACAAGAACTGTTAGCGCTCTTATTGAACAATTCGATTCCGATGGTAATATAATTGCAAATTATAGTGTAAACAAAATCGGTTTAATTGTTTTTCTTCTAAACACTACCAGTACCAGGACAGTAAAATGTATCATGGCTGAAATACTAAAATAGTGAATCTGGATAAACAAGATTAGCTTCTATCTTGTTAAATAAACATAATACATCATTACAACATATATTCCAAAAACTTTGAAACATTAAAATATTAACTTGTTTACTGATATTTGTTTTTACTTTTAGATGACCAACATCTAAATGTTGCAGAGTTTTTCATGATGATTTTCGGAATATTTCTTAATAGACCACAATTATACTAATATTATGAGTGTGCTTTTATAATGAGAAATAAATTTGATATTTTTATGTTTACTTCCAAGACTGTGTTATTTTATACATATATCCATTATGTAAATATGTATATATCCTTATTGATAATAGGAGATATCAATGTCGCTAATATCAATGTTTTATGCTGCAAATATTGGTACTGTGCTAAAACACAGCCAACCATTAATTATTGGACGGAATGAAGTATAAGTATAAAAAAGGAAGTTTAGGATTTATAGCTCTATAATGAATTAAAATCAAATGGTACCAAAGGATAAATTCGGATTAAGGTAACAAAATATATACAACAAAATAATTTCTAAAGTAATATTGTTCATATAGTTGCATTACAATTTATGGTGATAGGTTTTTTGTAATTTTTCACAGTAAATAACTTAAGAATTTATTGGTACTTAATCTACCTTAAGGAATTCATAGAAATGTGGACTTTCTTGTCACCAACAGCTTGTCCGAGGTTTTCACCCGCCTTGGTGCCTGCAATCATATTTTTTGGATTGAACTGCTGGTCATTAGCTTCTAGACTGATATTCTCGTCAAGATGATTGCAGTTTGATTGGTCAACGATTGACAGATCGTATGGACTCACGTTAACCGAAGCCATTAAGTTGTGCATCTTTCAAATTCAAAAAAAATGACATTTTATTCTCAATTGCAAAGATTCAACATGATAAAACCATCTTTTTTGGTATCCCCAGATAACATAGATTCTTACAAAGGCCACTTTAATTTACCTTATTTAGGTACGTTTTGTCTAAGACTTTGGATCTCGACAAAATGGTAATAGAATGTTTGTGGCCGAAAGGTTTTTTTTGGCAAGTGTATACACCTGCATAGTTTACATAGTCAGTGGCAAATACAACAAAATAAGATTTGCCCGCAACATCTGCAATGTGAATTAAACAAATTACCAATAAGGTGAAAATCTATTTGTTACATAATTCTCATCTAACATGTTGGAAATATTCTGAACTCAAGTACTTACTCAGAGGAGAATTACTTGTCATTCTTGATGGCAAATTTTTATCAGCTTTCAATTGTCCAACATAACGGTTATTGTTAGCTTTAATTATTACATTGACTTTAAAATTTTCGATAATTTGTTCAAATTTAGTCGATTGTGAGCAATTAGTGTTTGACTGATTTGTTCTATTTGTACAATGTGACAAATTACTACAATTTGTACAATTTGTACAACTTTCGCATATTTTGCAATTTGTACAATTTTGGCAACCGTTACAGTGGCTACAACCAGTGCAGTTTGTACAGTTTGTGCAGTTGATGCAATTTGTACAATTAACACAATTTACACAGTTTGTACAGTTCGTGCAAGTACCATCGTTGAATTCCTGTGTGAACTCATACACCAAACACGGACTTGACTTTGGCGTCTCTTGTACGGCGTACCATGAACCTAACAGCTTTTAAATTAATAAGAAATTAGCAGACAAGATCCAAATTAAGACAGTTTTTTTTTTGGTATTAATTAGTAAATGTCCAGAAGACTACAACTAAGAATAACTAACATACTTTTTTAATATTAATTTTACAATGATATGTTTTTCACACAAAACCTTATAAGATTTAGGAATACAAAAGACATTTATTGGTCCCTTAAAACCTGATTGACTGGACCGGTTATGATTTAAAGTTAATAAAAGTGCTTCACGTTGGTGGCTGCAAATATATCGTCAGTATTTAAAAATAATTAAGCATAGCATGGGTACCTAACACGTTAAAAAAGGGCCCACTAAGGGTTACACTAATGTGTTTATTTTATTGGAAATAGTATATTTTGTGTTTACCAATAAAAATGTTCTCCTCTAAACAAACAGGTTTTCTAAGACATTTTGTATCAATAAAATTCATTAAAATTTGAGTTAGTTCCTGTTTTTGAACTCTATATTTCTAAAGACCCATTTTTTAATTGGATTAGTATTTATCTAGCAAAATGTATCATTAATTTAAAATTGAACACGGTGTATTAAAAATAAAATAAAATTGGTACCCAATTGTTCAGTAATTTTATAATATAACCTGCCCATCTGCGTCAAATACATTACTTGGACTTACTTTATCCATTACAAACTCAGGCATAGGGTCGAAATCGGGACATTGGTCCAAATGATATGAATGCCCCGAAACGAAATTCAAAGAGCTAGCTAGCAACACTGTTAAAATACATAGTCCTTTGAACTTCATCGTATGACTGTGAAAATGTATTATATCCTTTATCAATGGACACTGCAATGGCGTGCGATTAGAGTCTATTAAAAACATATAACATAATATATTTTTAAGTTGGCAATATATTATATTATTAAGTGGCATAGAAACCAGTGCTCGACCGAATATTCTAGTTTTTAATTTCTATCATGCAATAAAAAATTAAAAAATCCTCTGTAGTCCTTACTTATCATTGTAAAAAATGTCAAGTGAAGACCAAGGGGGGTTTCGACCTTTCAAACCCTTCAAAATTAGGCCTTGACAATAATATAATATATACACATGGTATTCACTGATACACGAGGTTATCCAAATTTTATGTTAAAACAATTCTATGAAAAAATGTTTTAGTAAAAAGTGGTCCCAATAAAGTCCTCATTATAATAATGATTATTAATTGTAAATATGTTTAATAACATTCAAGTTGAAAATATTTTTTCTTAAAGAGTAATATTAACAGGGCATTTTCATAAGTCGAGTAGTAAGCCATGTATTAGCCTTTAATTGTATCATAGTACTGTGTTGAGCCTTTTTAAACACTGTAACTATATACCTATTGTATGGCTGAATAATTGTTAAATTAATTTAGGGTAGTTTTGCGAGTGACTGCAAAATGATTAAATATTTTATAATTTTAACTACAGATTTTAGTACTTACTTGTTTTTATATGTTAATTGCTTTCTCAATCGGTCACTGTATACTTGTTTGTTTGAGGTGCACCCGTCGAGAACGCAAACCAATCACTAATTATAGTGTTATGCTCTATTAGAATAAATGGGTTGGAAAACAGTATTATGTTCTTTATCAAAAAATCATTAAGGTTAATGACGGTAGATAGGTAATCTATTTCAGGTACGGGTGATGCTTGGTTAGAACAATAATGTTTTGTAACAAATTAAATATTTGATCTTTCTACTAATAATTAATTGGTTTTAGTTGAAAATATCCTAATTACAATCTTATTTAATGAACGACGACTGACTTCTTTAACCTTATTCCATTATTTTTTTACTCCTTTATTAGACCAAGTAATAATTTACTTTTATTAAGATTAATAGGGTTTTAAATCACAATGAAATATTGTAAGTTTGTAGGTTTTATTTTTGGAAACAATTCAGTCAACATTTTTGTAGTACAGTATACAATAAATAATTTTTTAGTAAATATTTCAATTAAATTATATGAATATTTTTAAATATTTATAGTAAAACTGAAATGGTAACTTATTCATTTAATTAACATTTTAAATTAAGAATCATTTACTAAACATTTCGACTCGACGATAACCAGTTTTGAATAGTTATTTGAATAAAATGAATTTAGTAATTTTACAATATTTAACAAAACATAAATTCTATGTTAATACGTTAGAATTAAAAAAATATTTTAAATAATAATGGTTTTCAAAAAGAACAACTACTAAATTGTTATTATTTTACCAGAAAGTTAGTGTCTTTCGTTAAAGGGATCACCCTGTATACTTATTCTGTATGATACAATTGTACCATATTGTGCTTTTTTAAATGACTATAAGCATAACATTTTGAGAGACCTTTTAAACCTCAATTCGCAATTTGCAAAAATACAACGTTACATTATATAAAATACTCGCAAACATAATAATATGAAGGTTACATTTATTACATACTTGTTTCTTAAATATTTAATGAAAACTGCACATTTCACACTTATAGCCTTATAGGTTTATAATAAAAAAAAAGTATCGAAAATATTGAAGAAGGACCGAAATTTAACATTTTTTGACAAACATATCTACTTTTAATAGATATTGTTTTTTTCATAATTTTTTAATGGTAATTTGCTATCTGAAAGTATTGAAAATATTTTAGACCTTGTTGTAAATGCCTGAAGCAATTTCTAAAAATTACTGTTTGTAAATTGGTTAAATAATTTCATGTGACTGAATGATAATGTTTAGTTAAACAGAAGGGTTATTATTTACATTAACCCGTTTGGTCTACCTCGAGGCCATCAAATTTATAAATAAATTTATTAATATGAAATCAAATGATTAGTTTGATTACTATTATTATTTTTATATTTTGGAAATTTAAAGCTCCAAGTTTTATAAATTCCCCCTTTAAAACTATATAATAATATAAATATTCGGTACGGTGTAATATCAAATAGTTTTGTCTTTTTAAAATTATTTTCAATGTTGTTCAATTGTTGTTCTCGAATTTCTTCTTTTTTTTTTTGCATTTTCTGTCAGCACTTTAACTTGGTATATTAAAATTCGATGGTTATAACAAATCATAGGTTCACAATAACTTTGCAGCAGACATCAAATTTTAGAATTTTTGCACATACATATTTTATTATATTTTTTTTAAACGTCCGTTTAGAATATTCATAAAACCAAGTATATTAAATGTGTAATAAAATAACATAATGTAGTGTAACCTAAATATAAATATTATTGCTGAAATCCCTTAAAAAAATGTGTTCATTGTACCAACACTACTACAAGTTTTGTACAAATTTGAGAGTGCAATTATTATAAAACAAAAACAAGTCTAATTGGATCGGATCACAGCTGTCATTAGTGGGGATGGAGTATAGAATACTGTTTTTTATTTTTAAGTATTTAAATTAATTTAATAAAAACATTTTTTACTGAAAGCATATATCATAAGAAATTTTCTAATGTTTTATTATTTTTTTCCTTTTAAATATTATATTTTACAGTTTAATTTTTTTTAACAAGGCACATCCAAAATTGATTTCAACTAAGCTATATAGTTCTCCAACTAAACAAATAGGCTTAAAAATTTAACACTTTTGACTAAAAAAAGTAAGAGAATAATTTTGATTTTGAATTTAATAAACAATGGTAAATGGATGTTACATCGTACAATATAAATGTAATGGGTTACCTATACTTTGTCATGCTGTACAAATTTAGAATTTATTCAGCTAATAGTTTGATTTAAATTTGATGGTAAAGTAAATGTTCTCCTCGTCGCTATCGTCGTCGATGTCATTCTGATCATTACTATATTCACTGGATTTCTTCTTAGGATGGTTACAGCCCGAATGGTCGACGGTTGAGAGTTTCACATCATTTGGATTCGTTTGAACAGACTCTATAAATTCTACCAACTGTAAATTAAAAACAAAAATAAATATATACATATATATATATATATGTTTTAACTGCAAATAATCGATTTTAAATAACAAAGCAAATGTTATTTTCTATTTACATCATCTAGGTCCTGTTTGTCTAAGCTCTCAGATCTGGACAAAATGGTTGTATAATGTTTGTAGCCGTTAGGCGTTTTTTGACAAGAGTATACACCGGCATAGTTTTCATAGTCAGTGGCGAACACAACAAAAGAAGGTATCCCAGCATGATCAGCTGCAAAGTAAATAATACAAATTACCAATTAGCTATCACCATATTCTATAATATACATTTGTTGACTACGAAACACACAGTGCACTGGTTTAGTTGTGCGATGAGAATAACCAGATGGCAACAATATACTGGTGATAATTTGAATATGTCTAGTTTTTGCATGTTATAAGCTTGTTGGAAAGTTTAAAGTTCAAATCCCAAGTACTTACACGGTGGGGAAACAACAGACATGTTTGATGGTAAATTTGGATCGGCTTCCAACGTTCCAGTAAAATAGTAATCATTGAGTTTAGCTACAATACAATGTAATTAAACACTTTATATAATTCATTTTTAAATACTGAGATAGTAGGGCAATTGTTGGAATAAAATAAATATTATACTCAAAATTCAACTACTTACTCAGAGGGGAAGGAACAGTCACAGTTATTGGTGCACTTGGACGGGATGCCATATACCGGTAGTCATTGGATTGATCTGGATTTAGCCAAAGGTCTTGACAGTTGGACCTACCTACTAGGTTTTTACAATTTGTGCAGTTTGAACATGCTGTCAAGTTTTCACTAATTGTAACGTTTGAACAATCATTACAATTTATAGATTTTTCACCATTAGAGCAACTCACACAATCTGTACACTCGTTCAAATTCGAACTATCTCTACAACCGGTTGACAATCTAGTATTTGAACAACCTATACAATCAGAACAACCTGGACTGTTGTCACAACTTATACAATCGACCGTACCTCTACAATTCGTACAGTCTACACAATTTGTAAGATCAACACAGTTGTCACAATTCGTACAATCTTTGCAATTTACACAATTGGTGCAATCCTTACAGTTTATGCAGTTTTCCAAGTCCCATTCGTCTTTGCGAAAATATCTATATCCATCCAGATTACCCTTACAACCGATACAGTCTTTATATTTTATACAGTCCGTACAGTCTTCACAGTTTAAACAAGCCACACAGTTTTCGCAGTTCTTACAACCTTCACAATCCACACAATTTATGTTTGCCAACTCATGTGAGTCTTCAAAATCCTCTGCGATTTCGAGCTCTTGGAACTTTTCAAAATCCTCTGCGCTTTCGGACTCTTGTGACTGTTCGAAGTCCTCTGCGCTTTTAAACTCTTGTGACTTTTCGCAGTTCTCTGCGCTTTTAAACTCTTGTGACTTATCGAAATCCTGTGTGGTTTCAAGTTCCTGAGTGTAAAAATCGTACACTAAGCATCGTTTGAACGGCGACGTCGTTTTCTGGGCGTACCATAGTCCTAAAAACTATAGAAACAACGACGACGGATTAGTACTAGCAGTGCACAGGAATTCATTTAAATAACTGTTTTCAAGACACTTGTTATGTTTTAACATAATAATTGTCATAATAGCTGGATACATGGGATGAGGTAAGAGATTAGAGTTAAAAGATGGTCCAGCTGTATGCAGGAGATGAGGTAAGAGAATAGGGTTAAGATATCTGCTGATAAGGTCCATCTGAATGTATAGGAAACAATAGTTTATAAAATATTCATATTCTCCCAAAAATGTGTGTCTTAAATCAGATGGGTCACCCTGTCCCATTTATATACTTAAGCTAATATGCGCATACTGATATCAGTCTTAGTTATGGTTTACAAAATGAAAATTTGGTATACAATTGTTTTTTTTTTTCAAATAAATGTCTTTTCAAAAATAGCATACATTACTTGGACTTACTTTGTCCATATCGAAATTAGGCTGAGGTTCAAAATTTAGGCACTCATATCCCGAAACGACATTCAAAGAACTAACTAGCAACACAGTTATAAGACGCAATCCGTTGAACTTCATTGTATAACGGTGAAATGTACTTTTGTAAACTGAATACTATTGAATTATAAAAAAAAACATAACAATTAATATAATATAATAAAAAAAAAAATGATGATTAATTAAGCAAACAAAGTAACTAATTTAAAAAAAAAAACCCTTTTATGGTATAGCACTACTTCAGAAGTACTTTTGGTCTAATTTTCAGACCTTAAGTTCAAAAACTTCACTTTAAAAAGATGAATAAAAAAAAGTTTCCATCTCTTTAAGGGATTTATGATGTTTTCTTGGTTGCAAACGTTTATTGGTAGTACTTAAATTTTGAAGGGACCGAAGTAAGCTCTTTATTTGTAGTCTTGCTACAAAAAAATAGACACAAAACACTCTTAAAACTTAATTAATTAAATAAATACAAAACATAAACTACAATTACTTTTATCATTCTTAAGTTTATTAAACCATTCGACCATATTTGACGTTGCATTTTTTTTATTAGAGTTAACTAAGTTTTTCTTTTATTTATAAAACTTGACTAGGTACTTACAAATTATAATGTTTATTATTCGGTCCGTTATTTACTTTAAACAAAATTATACTTAACAGAGATAAAACCATACCTATCCGTTAGTAAAAATATGACCACAAAATTTTTTTTAAAAATTATGGCTATTATAAAAAGATATCTATTCCAACAATACTATCCAAAAACGTCATTGTCTTATGTTTAAGATAGAAAATAGAAAATAAGTATTAAAATTTTAAAGAAGCAATTAAATTTTAAGTATTTTAAAAATTTTCCTAATCGAATATTTAATACATACTTGCAACTCTTAAAAGTAGATAGTTCAACTTGATTTGATGAGGTTGACAACTTGTTTTCAAGTGACTTTCTCGCATAATATAATGGTTTACATTGCGACCGGAACGCTAAAATCGAAATCTATTTTGTAGGGTTGCCTTTGTAAATTTATTTGCAAAGCTGGTTGAGTACGACTTTTTATCGATACAAAAATATTAATACAAATTTATACCTATTTGATAGGTATTCGCTTTTTTTTTTTTTTTTCATTAAAAATGTGTTGCATTGCATTAAAAAGTATAGTCAACACATTTTTATTCATATGCGCTTTAACCATAAAGAATTTCGGGTTTTTCCGACTCACCACTTTAACTGATAATATTCTTGAACTTTATTCAACATAATCCCAAAAGTAATTTTTAATTTCAATATAATTACATATTTTGCTATACACTTCAGACTACTTTCTTCTCAATTATTGGTTTTACAATCACTCCTATAACTAAATATGTTTAGGAATTTGAATTATATTATTCTGTATGTTAATTTATCCGTAAAATATTTTATATTGTAAAAGTATTCACTGTTTTTCCTTGTACAGCATAAAAATAAAACTAAAAGTTACATAAAATTAAAAGTTTACCATAGCATAACTATAACTTTGAAGTTTTTTAGCAAACGAAAAGTAAATAGGGATAACATGTATTCAATGCAGTTTGTAAGGTCTTTGTGACTTGTAAAATTATGTTATTAGAATATATTTTGTAATTTAAAGTAATAAATGCACAAATTGTGAAAAAAATTGTAATTTGCACAATGCCTCACTAAAATAGTATGGCATTTTTGAGAGTATTGTCGACTTATGATTTATACCTAGAAACTTTCAATAGTCACAAAGCCAGCACATTATTCAGGTGTTTTATTTTTAGTTAAATTATTAAGTTTAAATTGAAATATTATGAAGTCGTGTCAGTGACAAAGAGTAATAAATAATTATGAATTTAATTATTTATAAGAGCGAGCTGTTGGTTTTCAGCTTTTATAAGTAGGTGGGAAGTTTTTGTTTTACAATGATGGGATTTTTTTTATATCTGAACCCCCAGTATCTTTTAAGACTCTATTTTTTTGTATTATTTATTTTGATTGGAGTTACATTTCAAACGTTAATCACAAAAATACCCTCGAGTGAAAAATACAAAAGAATTATTTTATTTATTTTCTAGAAACATACTTTATCAGTTTAACAAGTGTCGATCATGAAATAAATTGAAAGTATTAGGATTAGAACAAAAATACTCACTATTAAGTAGAAAATATGTAAAATCAAGCAAATAGGTTTCTTTCTAGTTTCTCGAGTGAATTGCTAAAAGTTTAGCTATAAGTTTTTAATTATGAGCTAAGTTTTATATTGGATTGGAACGCTCAATATTCATTCATTGCAAATCACAAATTATATAATATTTCATTTTAAAACCTATTTCACCACATAAATCATAGGTGTAAAACAATATTGAATGTAAGTTAATAATGTAATGTTTTTTTTATGTTAACAGTTATATTTAGGATTTACAACTAGGTGTAATACGGTATAAGCTTCCATGTCCAATTACAAAGCTGTGGCATCAAGTTAAAAGGGCTTTATCTTTGTTTTACATTAATGCATTTAAGCCATACCAATGTAGGTTTCTTTTACCGAACAAAACGATTTTAATTACAAACAGTAATAGTATTTTTTTGTAGGTTATGATTGATATGAAAACACATAGTTTCTTGTACTCAGGGCGACACTTAAGTATGTGAAAAAAACACAGTATTTAAATTATATTCCCAAACCTAATTGTCGGTAAGAACACCGGTTGTGATCTGTAATGTAGTTTAATATTGTCCCACTTAGTACTATAATATGTATTTATATTTGTGTATTAATACAGAATTTTAAATATGAAGGAAAATCCAATAATTCGACCAACAACACTGTTTTGAGACACAAAGTTGCTGACTAAGTGACACTTTTATTAGTTCTGGTGTTGCAAAATCCGAAAAATGTCTAAGTCATCATCAATTTTGTATTTCTTTTAAAATAATATATATTGTACAGTTGAATTTTATTTAACAAGGCTTAACCCAAAATTGATTTACATTAAGCTTGAGGCCTAAGACTTTAGGATGTTTGAAGTTCTATTTAAAAAATGTAAGGTAATATTGTTGATTTTTTATTGAATTGAATAAGCTGGTTACAGCATCCACGTGGGGCGTGGATTCATCTCTTCGGCTGTCTCTAAATCGACAGAAACGTAGACTTTCGCGTCATCGTCAACGACACTCTGATCAATACTATCCACACTGGATCTCTCAAAAGGATGGTCACAGTTCGAGTGGTCAACCGTTTTGAACTCACTCGGGTGCACTTTGGCCGAGAGTATTAACTCCATAATCTATAAATTAAAAAAAAAAACATAAAAATTGTTTTCAACTTCAAAACTATCAATGTCCAATCATTAACCTTATCTGAGTTTGCTTTGTCTAAGTCCTTTGTTCTGGACAATATGGTTATAGAATGTTTGTTGCAGGCCGGCATGTCTTGGCAAGTGTATACACCGGCATAGGTCACATAGTCGGTGGCGAAGACGTTAAAAGAGGCTTTCCCGTCTGTTAAAGGAATTGTACAAATCACTAATCAGGTAAATGTTCAAATTCCGAAGCACTTACCCTGAGTCGAATAAACAGACATTGTTGACGGTAATTCCGGATCGGCTACCAATTGTCCAAAATAATTGTACTTGAAGTATGTGACTACATCGAACGGTAGTCTAGGGTTTTTCACTCCTACAAGATCTCTTTGGTTCACAAGATTTTCACAACCTATACAGTTGAAACAACCTATACAGCCAATACACTTTACGCACGACACACAATCTATACAATCTTCACACCATGTAGAATCCTCGCAATTCTTACACTCTTTACAGTGTCTACAATGCTTACAATTCTCACTATCTTTACAGGCTACACATTTCACGCATCTGGTACAGTTGATACTTTTTACGCACTCTACGTTACTCGCACTGTCTTCATCACAAAGTGCACAATCTATGTTTTCCCGTTTCTGTATGTGCGTAAACTCATACACTAAACATTGATTTGGCGACAATGTCGTTGTGACGGCGTACCAGCGTCCTAAAAACTTAAGAAACAACAGTCGGGTTAGGTTGTGATTTAGCACTGTTTTTGTTTTGATTTGAACTAATATATATATATATAACCGGCTTGACCGATGACCACCGACCGTAGTTATGATTTACCGAAATTCAAATTTGCCACTCGATTGTTTTATTTTGTTACAATACAGGGTGTATCAAAAAGAATGGTGGCGTTTAAAACGGCTGTGGGTCCACAACCTACAGCCGTTGGAAATCCCACCATTTTTTTTTTGATACACCCTGTATACCTTGTCAATCATCAGACGCATTTCTCGGACTTACTCGTTTCATATCGAAATCGGGCAATGGTTTCAAGTTAAGACAGTCGTGTGTCGTCAAAACGGTATTCAAAGAACAAACCAGCAACAATGGTAACAGACGCATGCCGTTGGACTTCATTGTAGTACGATGGGGATGTGGACTAATCGAATAAAACATAACAATTATATTACTTAGTACATAATGTTATATGTCTTTTATGTTATGTCTACCAATAAAATAAATAATTACCAAATAAGTAAACTTGAATTTTTGTGTCTAATCTACCTTTATTAAATGACAGTAAACTTCGGTGACAGGTTCGTCGTTAATATTTCTAATAGATCATTCATCCTGATGGTTATTATATAGATTTGATGTTAGAGGTAGCATATCCTAAACGGAGTTTTAATTTTGGTGACTAAATAAAACAGTGTAGAATATATAGCCAAATGAGGGAAAAATACCCTGACTGGTCAACCACAACGGTTTTGGATTGGTTTATATATGATTCAATTAAGAACATCGCAGAGTGCAAAAATTAATTCTACATAATATTTTAAATCAAAACAATGTCAATAAAATTTTTTTTTTTGCAACGCATTATTGTGTGCTAAATTCCAAATTTTGTAAAATGTTTTATTTGGACGTGTATTGATTTAGAGAACTGTTTTTTTGTGGGCTATTACTCATGTTTTGTCATTATTATATTGCTACAAAACTAAAAAAAAAAAAAAGACACTAAAAACAATGAAAATGTATTGTGTTTTTGCACACAGTAACTCCAAAGTATTTTGCATATGTCTAATGCATTGAATAGTTCAACAAATCTGAGTACATGTCTGTTGTTATGAATTTTTATGTGTATTATTATTACTCATATTTTAATCCATGTCAACACCCAATTGTATTCTAACAGTAAAATCATTTTCAGGGACAAAAAATATTGCGGTTACTTGAAAACAACAATTCGCATAAAGCGGTTAAAACTTATATTAGTAAAAGGTCGACCTGTATCGAACAAAAAATAAGTGGTTTTTCAGTGAAATACTTTTGCATATGAAACATGTGTACAAATAAGAACCGTTACAACGACAACCACGGCAGAAAACACAAAAACAATTTCGTTTTAACAGCAAATGAAGTATGAATAAATTTTCAGTTGAAACGTACGCGTCAATTAAATATCCGTTTATATATTTATAATGCAAATTGAGAACAATTTTCAAAAATACCGGCCATAATATACAGTTTTGATGACCAAAAACCAAAAACAAAAAAATTATAAGCAGTGTGGTGCATTGTAAAAAAACAACCAACATATTACAATATATGTTATTACTTAACAAACAATAGAGTATTTAATGCATTTTTTTCTATTAGCCCCATAAAAAAAAAAGAATAATATTACTGTTAAAAATCAATCAGTACATCCTTTAAACAATAACGGCCTTTGTCATGTTTGAGAAGTTAAATTTTATCATTCTTAATTTTATGAAATCATATTTCACGTTTAATATATTTTTATTAGAGTTAACTAAGTTTTTCTGGAATTTTTTATTTTATTTTCTAAAACTTGACTAGGTACTTACAAATCAAAATGCTTAATACTCGGTCTGTTATTTACTTTAAACAGAAATAATACCATTCCCATCATGTTAATACAAATATGTCCATTATAAAAAAATGTTTTTAAAAATGTATGGCTATTATAAAAAAATAAAATAATAATCTATTCCAACAATACTATCCAAAAACGTCATTGTCTTATGTGTAAGATACAAAATAGAAAATAAGTATTAAAATCTTAAAGAAGCGATTGAATTTTAAGTATTTTAAAATTTTCCTAATCGAATATTTAAAACATACTTGCAACTTTGAAAAGTAGGTAGTTCAACTTGATTTGATGAGGTTGACAAACTGTTTTCAAGTGACTTTATCGCACATAATGGCTTATAATGCGAACCTAACCTAACCGAAACGCTAAAATCTAAATCTAATTTCTAGGGTTGCCTTTGTAAATTTATTTGCAAAGCTGGTTGAGTATGACTTTTTATCGATACAAAAATATTAATATTAATTTATACTTTACATAAATCATAATTCTTATTACTAGATTTATAATTTTTTTAAAGCAAAAACATAAAATAAAATAATCGAAGTAAGATAACATTTTAGATTGAATGTTATATTCATTAAAAAAAAAATATTTATATCTAATCCAACAGTATTTATTTGGCCAAACAATAATTAAATGCAATATACCATTTTATCGAAAGGGTACACAAAATATGAATATGTATTTAAAATTAATGTGCTTTAAAATTTGCCCATATACGATTAAAAGCATACTTACAACTTTTGAAACTTGATAGCACAACAACTTGAATAAACGATTTGAATAGATAAGCGGTTTTAAACTGATTGTCTTGTGTCTTGTCTATGGGCTTATATTTCGACCAAAATGTAAATAAATTTTGATGGGTGTTTAAGTTAATTTATTTGCACTGCTATTAGCTCTTTGTTAAATATATACATACTGATTTATTAAAATTATTAGAACAAAAGGTTTTGGTAAAAGAGTTTTGAGAGTACACGTGTATTATTAATATAAGATGTTTGTCTTACAATGATTTATTATTTTGTTTTCTTCATTTATTTCATATTTCTACCAACCTTCTAAATTAGTTTTTTTTATAGCAACTTTTGAAACTTAAACACAAACCTATACATTATTTTATTAACTTTTTACATTTTCAATACTTATCAATACAAGTCTGGAAGGGGGTGGGAACATACAAATTTGAGGAAAACTGTGATCACATTATATGAAAAAAAATCAATTATTAAACCCAGTAAGATATTATTGAGTGGCACAAGATATGACTGAAAACGCAAACTTTCTTACTTTAAACTTTCAAGGCGTTTACCTAACTAATAAAAAACAATTTTTTTTTGTTTTTAAAATCACAAATTTTCTTAAAGTGTATAATAGTTTTTTAGATGAATATTTTGATTTTTTTAACAGAATTCTAATTTTTTCGACATATATTTATATGAATGGTATAAACGAACAAAATCCCTATTGTTTTATTTTCAAATTCCTGTTTTTTGTTAAAGAACAATTAAAAATTGTTGACCAATGTTTTTATTTTTATTTCATATTTTGATACATTTATAAAATTGGTTTAATGGGTTTTTATAGAATTTGACACTTAAAAACCAATGTTTTAATTTTAGCTTAAAAAGCAGTTCCTCGCTTCGGGAATAGTTTTAATCTTTTTACTTCTAAACCCTAACTTTTTAGGCAAACCTAACCAAAAAGTTCACTGATCATCAGATCAATAAGGAATGTATAAATTATTTTAAATGTTAAAAAGTGAGGTTTCTGAACAATTTTGCATATCGACACATGTGTTTCAAAAGTGATACCTAGTCTAAAAGTAAACAAAAAAAACCATTTTTTTTTTTTCAAATATTGCTTACTTGCACATTGGTTGTGCTAATTTTAAAACGAATTTCAAATGCAATTTGAAAAATATGGACTTAAGATAAACCAATTTCCTTTTTTTTAGATTTAGCAAAAAGTGAACATGTCTATGAAATTTCCCATTTTATATTTCTTTGGAAAAACTATTGTGTACAGTTCAATTTTATTTAACAAAGCGTAGCAAAAATTTACAGCCAACGCGGTTTTCACATTCTACACAACCCTCGCATTCTTTACATTTTTTACACTTGACACAACCGTCACAGCTTTGGCAATCCACAGAATCTCTAGTGTTCACACTGTCTACACAACCTTCACAATTTATGTTTACGCCCTTCTGTGTGTTTGTAAACTCATACACTAAACATTGACTTGGTGACAATGTCGTTTGAACGGCGTACCAGTATCCTAAAAACTTTACAAACAACGCCGGATTAGTATGTGTACACAATCTCAGTTATGATTTACCAAAATTCAAAATTTTAGCACTCAATTTTTTTTGTTTTACTATAAAAAATACCTCGTCAAGTATAAGTTGGACTTACTTGTTCCATATCGAAATCAGGCATAGATTCCAACTGTACCGCCAAAACGGAATTCAAAGTACAAACCACCAACAACAATGGTAAAAGACGCATTCCATTGAACTTCATGTTATGACAATGTGAATGCACTTGTGAACTGCGTTGACTATTAAAGTCAAAGAAAACATACAAATTGTATATTACTTAGTAACATAAATGTCATTATACAACACTTGCGATAAGTGGAGTAAATAAAAAGGAATCGACCCTTCCAATACCCAAAATTTGGCATCTACAATAATAAGATTATCTTATAAAAAAACCCTGAAAATTTTACATCAACTCTGAGTTCTGCTTCGAGTTCAGCAAAAAAACTAAATATTGTATCTAAAATAAATTTTCAAAATATATTCAAACTTCAAAATGCCACAAAACAGATTTGTTTTTACAGCTTCTTAGGCATTTTAAAACCAATTGCGCTTTTCAACAATACAGTGACGATTATATTATAGCCAGCGAAAGTGTTTGTTGATTACATTAAGATTTTAATATTTGAATAGAAAATGTACTTTCAAAGTTTCAGCGTTCATTACTAGATATTATTGACAATCCAGTCAAAATCACTTTGTTTTTTTTTTTTTTTTAATTGCATAATGTACTAGAAAATTCAGTAGGTATATTCTGTTAAATTTTAATTGGAAATAGGTACTCCCTTTATATATTTATTCTACTAACACTATCGTTATTAATTAATTTTAGGTTAATATATTTTACAGAGAAAGTGATTTCAAAAATAATCCTTACTTATTTAGAGCAAAATAATGTATAAAACAATCGAAATAAGATTAGCATTTTAAAAAGAATTTCACATCTATTTAAAAATAAAAACAAATCTAAGCCAACAGTACACGTTAAGGCAAATGATAATTAAATTGGAAATGTATTTTGTCATCGTCTTATATTGACAGAGAAGTTTAAATACAAATTTGCATCTTAAATACTTTTTAAAATTTTCTCATATTATCTAATTAAAAGCATACTTACATATTTTGCAAGTTGATAGTGCAGCTTACTTAAACTATAGAAATGTTATAACAATATCCATGACTAAGTTCAATCCGCTGAGCTTGACAAACGGTTTTGAAGCTTCTTTCTTGTGTTTTTTCCATGAAGACATAAGTATTGTTTACTAAATTCTTACCTTAACGTACGTTAGTTGGAAAACAAGATTTTTACTTTGGAAAAACACTTGTGTGGCCTAATGTGCGTTTACATTTTCACCGTGTACTACATGTAAAAATATAATACTCATTCATAATAAATACAAAAATTGTACATATTCAAAAGACTTAACATTATTTAGATAATGTTAAATGATAATATTAAGCTTTGTTATTATGCATTATTAATTTTGATATAATATACATTATTTAACAATAATTTAACTTGTTTCTAATCCACCCTTTATTGATTGTACTTGGTTGTTATGAGTAACGTTAACTTGAAAATACAACATAACTTATATAATTCGGTTAAGACATTTTACAATAAAGTTGCATAGCTGATTTTTGCAATATCAATCGCTAATAAAACGAGGTAAAACCAATACCGCCAAACTAAAAGTAATAAATAAAAAAAATAATTTCAACCGAATGGAAAAGGCCAACTAAATTTGGCCAACTTAAATGCGGTTACCTTTTTAGCACACAACAGTCATCAAAACATTTCAAGCCGTATGGCTATCCTCTACTATGTGTTTTGTAATAACAACGTGTAAAGAATAATTAAGACTAATATTCCAAAAAAAAAAAAACACTATATCCAGCCAGTGACGGTCAGTACTCAGCAAGACGGTAAATTCTATCTATTTTGGATAGGTCATGCCTATTTGTGCAAACTATTATTAATAGATACAAACTAACCCCTTCCTCCCCCCTCCCCAAGTAAAAATCATAAAGAGCTTTAACCCTAACCGTGGAAAATGTTGTCGTGAAAAATTGGAATAGAGTCAATAGAGCCACGCTTATTTTTTTTTACGTTTAAACACACTATTTTATTTTCTGGTGAGTTTCAACCGATTTTCAAGGAGAAATTATTGGTATTTTTGCAACTTTCGGTAACGTGTGTTGTGAACACATCGCATCGGTTTAGCTGTTAAAAACAACAGCAAGGAACAAACCGAGAACAAAAAAAAAACACTTTTGATTGACAACATAGGAAAGACAAATACTGTAATATTTTTGAACTCTATCCATCACAGAAAAACATTCACTACACATAGTTTAACGTTGCTCGTTCTACATATTTTTCCATCCGAAAGGTCACTGGATTTATAAAAAAAACTTCAGTTTATTGTGTTCAATATTGGTGAGAGACATTGCGAAAATGATTTTCACAAAATGTTGTGCGCTATTAATGATTATTTTCATGATCCAACACGAGCCGCTGTTGTGCGATGAAAATCAACTGGTCGAGCATGCAAAACTAGTGGAACAGTTAAGGCAAGTAAATTCATTTAAAAATGGCTACGAAACCGACGAGGTCGGACCCGATTTCTCTAGTTTATCCAATGAACATCTAAGGGAAAACATATCTTTCAGATTCGACCTACTTAAATGCGGTCATCTTTTGAGCGCCCGTTCTCATTTTTCAATAGTCGACAAAATGTTTCAAAAAAACGACTCTTCACTGTTTGACAGTTTGTTTGGTTTCTTAGGCGAATCCGTGGCAATGGTTAGCTTATTTTTCGACGTAAAAAGACTGCAGATGTCTGAGGTATGGTTAGTTTACAATCACGCATTCGCCGTGAACAGCCACTCCAAAAACTACTCTCACACATCTCAGATAAGACGAATGACTCAAAATCATGGTGTTCAGAAACATTTGATGGAGCAAAATCGTTTTGTCGTTGCTGAACTCGACAAATATCTCGAGAAAACGTGTTCCGGTGACAATATTTTCAAGAAAGCACAAAGCGTTGAAGGAGGGGATCCGTTTTCAAAGACCGGTAAATATTCTAGTTCTCATGCACATTATCAAATACTCGAGAATAAAAGGATGCTAAACGATTTACACGAGCATAATCTGGAAAAAGGACTCGGCAGATTTATCAACACAAACATCAACGAAACCTATTTAAAAAACGCAATTGACGAAAAATATGTTCAGTTTCAAACCAGATTTCAATCGTATTCACCTTCGCTTTTGGACAGCAACACTCGGGATAAGTTCAATCAAACGATGAATTGTTATTTAAAGTTTTCCAAAAACAATGCGTTGGAAGGATTACTTATGTTTGGGAAACTTAATATCATGATTATTGACATATTTAGATTTATGTTGGTGCAACTCACGTGGGAATTCATAGCGCAAATAAATCATATGATAAACTCAGAGCCAAACCGAGCTGGTGAATTTAACACAGAAAAAAACATTGATTTTTACATTGGAGATTTTCAATCGGTTTTACCACAAGTTATCAGTAGGTTACATTTAAACGATGGCGATATCTTCTATGAACTCAACAGTGTCTTAACAGAAGGTACAGATCATTTCAAACAAAACGCAGTCCAAATGTTTGCACTATTCAAAAATGAACATCAAAGGGTATCCCGTGTTTTCAATATGCCACCATCGGAACATATGTCACAAAAATCGGTTCAACATCATTTGGATAAAGCGAGAATAGTTATTGGTGAGATCCAACTGTACTTTAGCGATTCTCTTGAATTCGATTTGTATCAATCTCACATAAAGTTTATCAATGACTATAGCGATCGTATATTGAGGTTTTTGCCAGAATCCAGTAGATGTTTAATTTTATAATAGGGTATTTTTTTTTTGGTAACTATTCCCGTATCCTATTTGTAATATATAAATATTAATAATTTTGAATCATTTCTTCGATATCAGAATATATTATAATGTTATTATCAAGGTTATTTAGTTAATGTACAATTTTCAAAACATATACTATCTTTATTTCAATTTATGTGTTAAATCTACTGTACTTGTAAAAAAATGCAATTGTAATAATAAAATATGTTTGATTTGATGAATCGTGTGAATGTTATTTCTCACATAAAAATATATTATCTTTATCAATACCTACTATAATAATTATACTTACTTAATATGAGTTCTCAGCCTCGATTGCTAACTTTTTATGTGTTTTTAGCATGACAAGTTCAAATATTAAGTACTTAAAACGAATGTCGCCAAATAAGGATTATTCTTATAATATTTTTAAATGTATTGTAATTTTAGTGAACTGACATGTGCAAAAAAAACGAGTAAGGTAGGTATATCATGCCACAATGATAGTACAGTGGAGGGAAAAGGTTATTATTATATTTGCAGCCTTTTGTGTTCAGACACATTCTAGTATGTTTATATGTCTGAGATCTTAACCTAAAGCCAAGTAGATTTCTTTGCTGTTTATTACATAATATATAGTTTATAATACAATATACATTAACCACTTGCACTATTTCGTTGACAGGTACTAATATGAATACAAGTTTGGTAGTAAATCTAATTAATGTGGAAAACTTGTCTTATTTTTGCTTTTCTAAGTGATGTTTAAAGGCTTAAAGTAGATTTAAAACGGGGCTATAACATAATACACCATTTTCCCAAAAAACCGTAGTCAATTTTTTTTATACTTGTAATACAGTCTAGCGCACACCGACTGTAGACAATTACAATATTTCGTTTTGGTCTTAATTTAAAATCGAAACAGCTTTTTACTAAACAACAATAAATATGACTATTTGTTGGTTCAAATTTATCCGTTGTGTTGATACAAGCGTCGTTGTTAACATTAAGCTTTGCGTTTATATAACAAACAAACTATTTGACAAATATTCTTGTTAGAATGTTGCTTGAATGTTATATTGTTAAACTATTATTAAACTTGTACAGTTATTTAATCATATCGAACTTCAACGGAGTTGGAGATAACGGACTGAACGACCAAAAGAAGAACCAGACCATGAGCAGATCGGTAAAATATATTTATTTGTAAATTTTGTACAACAAACCAACTGATTTCTTATATGTTCTTCTTCTATTGTGTTATATTATAAGAACCATTCTATTATACATTTAATTTTTACTTTGATGCGGAGCTGAGATAATATTGTTTTTACAATGATGCGTTTGTAAAAATGTTTTGTACCTGGGCCCATGGTATCTTATGGAACTCTAAAACGATTTTTTCATGTAGCCGGTTAGGTAACTCTAGAAAAATTATAGCTTTCTCAAACTTTTATTAAGGGAGAAATTAAAAAAAAAAAAAAGTCAACGAATGAACAATCAATAGATACTTGAAGAATCATAAACACATCATTGTAGTTAAAATGTACTTGTATATTTTTAAACCATCTACAGAATCTCATCAAAACGTTTATTTTAAACCTTTTTTTTATCATTTTCAGTTAACCGGCAATAGACCTAACTCGCTGGCCAACAATTTTTTTTTATGAAAAATGACCGTGAGCAGAGAGAGGCGAGAAAGAAAATGGACTGGCTGGTGGAAAGTTTGTGCAACAGCTTGTAAACATTTGCGTTGCATTGAAAGCCCAATGCGGTGAAAACAGATATGTTATGCAAAGCAAACGAGACATTGACGATTTGCTTCGAGAGCAGAACCAGATGAAAAACGAATTAAAGAGACTACAATCGAAAATGGCACAACTTAAGAATGACAATGAAAAACTTACCGAGGAAAAGATGTGGACGAAATAAGATTTGACCGTGAAAAAACGCGTTTATACCGAAATTCTTAAAATAAAATACCAAACCCATAAGAAAGGTTGGTTAAACCGCAACGTAACCTCAGAAAACACTTGAGAAGAAAAAAATAATCCAAGATAGGCGACAAGAATTTGAAATAGAATTGTTCGCCATGAAATCCCAGCTAGCTGCAATCATCGACTAAACTGCTAGATGTAAATCCATCTGGAGGCTTACTCTGAACTAACTACAAACTTGCAAGGAGGCATCGCACAAATGGCCAAAGACTGATATGAAAACAAAAAAACTTACAGAGGCAAACACACTGCCAAAGAAATATCTGAATAAAAGAAACGTATCATCATATAGTAATAATATTACTTAGCACGGAGAAGATCAAACATCTAGCAGGTAGACACGCCTAATATAGCTAATTTATTTTGTTAATTGATACAATATATGGCGCACAGACTTTTTACATTATTAATAAAAACAGTAAATTATCACTAACAAGAAGTGTCATCAACGGGTGGCTGCTTTCGTCAATGGCTGTTCATGTGCCTCCTATGTGTACTATTATTGTGCCTAGAGCTACAGATTGTTTATATAAAAATAAGGAAAAAATATATACACATAATTTATTATTATATACCAACTGAGTACATTTTTATAGGTAGTCTCATTTTAATTTAAAATTTTTTACTGAAGCTGATTATTATTATAAATATTAATCATAAACCCTATTTGAAATGTATCTATTTAACATTTTTACAAAAAAAAAAGAAATATAAAATGGTTAATATCATTAAAAGTATATAATTAAAAAATAGAGTTAAGTGCGTTATTTCAAAATTAAATACAGTTGGATAACAGCTGCAGATATTTAGCAGCAAATATTGTAATAAATATTACACCAAACACATGATAACAGTGCATGATTCTTATTATGTTTTTTTTTATATAGCCTAAATATTCAACAAAGTTTATTAGGAAGGTAAACTGTATTTTTAAAATACTTATTGTTTTTTTTTTTTTATTAGATATTGTCAAAAACGAAGAAATACAAGAGCTTAAGTGGAATTTAATAGCCGAGTGCCATATTGTTGTCACAGCAGTTCAGGCAATATCCGAATACCGCTTGGAAAAATTGAACACTTAGAAGCTGAAGAGGAGATAAAGTTATGATCCTATTATAATGTACACCCTATCCAAGAAAACTTAGTTAATAGTACCTTAGGCAGTACCGTCTTTAGCCGAAAATTGCTAGGTCGGAGTTTGCTTGTATGGTTGATTTTATGGTTTCTTCATTACTTTCATCCATTTTCTTTTTTACCGTCGCCATTTTTTTTCTTCAAATTCTAGTCTTTCCTATTTAGTTGCTACATTAAAGGTCCAAGCGATTCTTACATGTTGTCCAGCGGGTTCTTTCGACTTTGTTTATTCATATATTTCTTTGGCAGTGTGTTTGCCTCTGTAAGTTTTATTGGTTTCATCTCCATCTTTGGCCATATGTGCGATGCCTCCTCGCAATTTCGTAGTTAGTTCAGAGTAAGCCTTCATGATGAATTTACATCTAGCCGTTTATTCGATGATTGCAGCTAGCTGGGATTTCATGGCAGACAATTCTATTTCAAATTCTTGTCGCCAATCTTGGATTACTTTTTTTCCTTCACAAGTTTTTTCTGACGTTACGTTGCGGTTTAACCAGCCTTTCTTATCGGTTTGTAATTTTTTTAGAATTTCGGTAATAACGCCTTTTTTTCTCGGTCAAGTCCTTTTTCGTCAGCATCTTTTCCTCGGTAGGTTTTTCACTGTCGTTCTTAAGTTGTGCCATTTTCGATTAGAGTCTCTTTAATTCGTCTTTCATCTGGTTCTGCTCTCGAGCATATAATGAGATTCTGTAGATGGTTTAAAGATATACAAATACATATTAACTACATTCATGTTTTTATGATTCTTCAGGTATCTATCGATTGTTGATTAGTTCACATATGTTTTTAAAAGTTTTCCTCGATAAAAGTTTGAGAAAGGTATAGCTATTCTAGAGTTACCTTGATTCTAATTTTGAAGCTAAATCCCTGATACTGCACCTAACAATTTGGACCTACCTAGATTTTTGGAACTAAAGGGGTGATTTTTTTTCAATTTAAAAGCCAAAAAAAGTTCCTTGGATGTACTAATTTCTGTTTGACAGCCCGTCGTAGTTTCACTATGACCATAGTTGTAATGTATTGAACTCAATTACATTGAAAGATATTATATTTATCACTATATTCTATTTAAATTTGTTTAACTGTAAAATTGAATGATATGTTTAATTTTTGCATTGTTATTATAAATTGTGTATACTTGTTAATTGCTATACTATTGTGTATTTACTATGATTATCTTTGTTTTGTTTCTTCTTTAATAAAAATTCATTGTTATCATTATGGCCCATTTTGTATTTTGATATTTATGATATGTAATTACTTTATTGATAAAAATAAACTTTATTCCAGACTGTGTCTCTGTCGACACACTACCTATATTGGCAAATTAATTACATAACAAACTACAATTTTTAAAATTATTTTTTTCCTTTTAAATATTTTACAGTTTAATTTTATTTAGCAAACACAAGCACATCAAACGTTCCCGTCGCTGGCAGTTCGTCCTTAGAACGGTAACAGAACGTTTGGTCAATGAATGTAAGATCAGTTAGATTCACTTTAGCCGAAATCAATAAGTCAATCATCTGTAATTTAAAAAAAAAACAAAATATTTTGTTTAAAATGTCTATCACTTAACAATGAATATGTCATTTTTAATTTACCTTATATAGATACATGTCGTTCATTTTTTTTGATCTGGACAAAATAACTACATAATGTTGATGGCCGAAAGGCATTTGTTGACAAGAGTATACACCGGCATAGTTCACATAATCAGTGGCGAACACAATTAAAGACGATTGATCATCTAAACCTACAAAGTGAGTTGTAAAAATTACTACTAATTAGGTATCAGCCATATTAAACCAATTTTGTCGACTATGGGCAAGTATATATTTTAATTTAAATGTTCAAATCTCAAGACGTGCTGCTTACTCAGAGGGGAAACATCAGACATAGACATTATTGATGGTATATTTGGATTGACTTTCAATTCTCCAAAGAAATTGTAGCCAATGGAGTTAGTTACAATGGAGTGTGAGCTTTCGACAAGTTCTTGCCATTTGTGCAAACTGGGACAAATTATACAATTCGTACAATCCGCACAGTTGCTTAAACGTATACCGTTTGTACAATCTCTGCAATTTGTACATTCTATGCAATTTACACAGTTCGAACAATTCCTGCAATTCGTACAATTTATACAGTTTGTACAGTTCACACAATTTACACAATTTGTGTTTTCCAGTTTCTGCATTGTATCAAAATCATATATTAAACACTGACTTGGTGGCCATGTCGTTTGAACGGCGTACCATCGTCCTAAAAACTTAAGAAACAACAGCGGATTACTAAGAGTACACAGAAACAAGTAGGGTCCCTTGACTGAGCCATTTAAAAAATCCTAAACCAAAGAAAGTTAAACGTATCACATATTCATTACTTGGACTTACTTTATCCATCACAAACTCCGGCATAGGGTAAAAATCAGGACATCCGTCCAAGTGATAAGAATGTCCCGCAACGAAATCCAAAGAACAAACTAACAACACAGATAAAAGGCGCAATCCATTGAACTTCATTGTTTGGCGGTGCAAATGGGCACCTAAATATTACTATAATAATAAAAATAAAAAAACATCAAAATTATATTATCTACTTTAGTAGTAGACAATATTTATTAATGAGAATTATAAAAAACAAGTTTTCTCGTTTTCATCATGCAACAAATCGAAAACACTTGTATGGTCATTAAGACTTATTATTGTAAAAAACGATAATGATGAGAATTTTTTACTAAAAAAGAAAGTAAGTAGTTCCATGGACATATCTATCTGGTTAATGGAAATGATTTTGTTTAATTAAGATTTTTCAAAATCAATACTTGCAATCTTCTGGAAAGGGATCTCGCCCTAACTCTTATCCGCCTGATTGGAGTCTATGATCATTTAATTTTGTTTTAAAATACCTACCTATAAGTACATGCAATAACGAAGAATTTATTTAACGAAAAATTCTCTGTAATTTTTTCTATGCGCAAAAGCAACATGATATGTTGTTGGCCGATAATTATTTTAACAATAGCCATCCGTTTATTAATATATTTAAGATGTGTAGCCGCTTACTTATAATTAATATACTGACAACATTTTAAAAGCACAATGTAAACGTATTGAGCATTTTATGATTTTAATCAAGAAATTTAGTACTTACTATTATTTAAATCTTATTTACTCGGCTGACCCGTCACTTACTTATTTCTTAGAACAAACTGTATTGTGTTTCCAATCAGTAGAAAACAACTGTTGCCTTCGGTCGCACACTTAAAGAGATTGGGCGTTCAACATTAGATAATTATAGATTGTATAATTTTAGATAATTTGTACATGCAAAATCCCAACAAAGAAAATATATATATAGATATATGTATAATAATATGATGTTAATTAAAAATAAATAATTTTGATCATGTTATTAAATCAATCATAACATTAAAATATATTTTTGATATCCGGGGTCACGACCTCAGGTTTTGGTTGGCATGTTTGTTGCATGTTAATCGGTCGAAACAATTTAGTAAAAAATTAAAAAATTAAAATATTAAGTTGATCAAGGTTATTATTTAGATAAATATGAACCTAACGCAACCGCCGATGACCTGTCTATATTATTTAATTGACCAACAACTGTTATTATACAACTTGTTTTAGTTGCACGTGCCAAAATGTGTATTGAAATTGACTTTAAATGACAAATTAACATTTATTGCGTAGTTGTAGCTTTTCCACTTTTGTATTAATTATATCCAAAAAAATACACACTCAAGCGTGGAAGAACACAAATAGTGTGTAGTTTACTGTTTTTGTTATTTAATTTGTTATAGCGTGTAGTAATTAGTAAAATGATAAATGTGTAATATATAACGAAAATTCAATTAAATTGCAAATGTGAATTTTTGTCTCTTATTTTTAAGAACAAAGAAAATGTCTAACAAATGTAATTACTTATGTTCTATTGTTGATATTATAATTGAATTTTCGATGCTTTATATTGGAACTATAAAAGTAAACAATTTCTCGAAAATTATTTTGGTAGGATTACACAAACATGTCATGATCATACTAGATTGAAATTGATAATGTAAATTGAAACAAATACTGTGCAGATAACACGCATGAAGTATTTCATGTAGAATTATCACTAATATATTTCATTAATAAAAAACTTAGAATAAATAAATTATATGATGAAATAAAACCGAAATTGTACTAATTACAACGGTACCAAGAACATTTTTGAAAATTTAGAGAGGAAGACATGTTTTTATTTGGTATGATTGTGAATTTCTATATAACAAGAAAAACAATTTTACAAAAAGGAATTAAAAAAATAAATGCTCACAGATTTATTTAGGTTTTTTTTTATTTCTAATAAGTTATTCAGCGGCGAGTGGGTTGTTTGATATATTTTATACTGTGTTGTAAATTAAATAATACTCTTTTTGATACTCACTTATAGTTAAACTTCTTGTTATGTAGATATTATTATAATAATGTTTTCCCACTTACTTTGTCACAGCGCGCTGAAGTTCTGTAGATTTTAGTATTTGAATTATTGAAAAGTTTATAGTGTACCATTTTGATACACGAAAATTATAATTGTAAAACATTTTACACTATTTTAGAAGTAACACTGTTATTCACACATGAAAAATGTGAAGTCACTAAATAGTTAATATAAAATATAATTGTGCCAACGGTGTGGTCATATTATAAAATACAATTTTTGTATACAAAAGTGTGTTTTATAGAACATGTTATTATTGATACCGTTTTAAATTGTTAGGCTTGGTAAATAAATGTTTGTCAATGAAGATATTTGTACCCTTGAGTAGGCTGACCTATTGCGCTTACTTGATCAATCCAATTGACATGGTATTACTAGTAATTAATTTTCACTATACTTACACCCTAACCAATTCCAAACAACAAAAAACTGATTTTTTTTTTTCAATTTTCAGGTGCCACATTTTATAGGAGAAGTCATTTTTTCTTATATTTTTTATATAATGCTCGAAACGCCTTATACATTACTTTTGAGATGTCAACATTTTAATCCGTAATGAAATCATAATTTAAACTATTGAAAAAAAACATTTTAATCTTTAATGTTAAAACATTATATAAATTTCACTTATATTTTCCCCTCTTTTTTCCATTTTTTATTTTTAAATAAAATTATATACTACAGTTTTTAAAGGCACTAAAGTCAAACTTCAATCTAGTTAAAGTGTGTTTTATAGAACATTACAATTTTACTTATCATTTGTTCATAATATTTGTTGTGATTATGGTTATAAATATTTTTTTTTTAACCACCACCAAGAGTGTTGAAACAAATCAATCATATTCGAATAGATTTCAAAATACAGCCCTAATCATTTAACGGTTGATGGCTGTTTTGACTTTTCTGTCTGATTCGTATCTGTTAATTTGTTTTATCCTTTTCACGAGTACTGACACTCGTGGACGCCGCATTTTCATTTTTATCTTAAAAATAATTTTATTATAAAACATTTTTTTTCGTTGTGTAAATATTGTTAAATGATCACCTCTTTTAACATAATCTTCTAATTGTTTGCGTAATCTCAAGCAGGGCATTTCCCATAACAAAACTATCGGTATGCTGACTAAAAACGATATCATGTAATCACTTAATATGTTGCGAATCTAAAAATAGACATAAATGTTATGTTAAATGATTCGAGAAAAAAATTGTATTTCTATTACCGTTGTCCAAGAATTTATCGGAGATAGTGTTTTATTTGAAGCCACCGATTGTATTATAAATATTAAATGACAAAAATACATGCTGTAGTTGAAGTGTCCGAAAAATGTTAAAAAACGGCTTTCCAAGAATTTCACTTGGCTATCGAGATTGATGATCATCACATACGATACACAAAGTGAGAACACGATTCTTGCTAACGAATAGAATAGTACATGGTGCCATGGGTTGTATTCCACTCCAGGTAAATAAAAGTAACTCGGTATCAGGTGACACAAATACATTATTATTGCAGAAAAAAACGAACCGAATTTTCTGTGCGTCTGAAAATGTAATAGACAAGAGTAATATAATTGTTGTACAAAAAAAAATCGCATATTAGATAAAACCAGATAAAAAAATCGAAAAATGTAAACAAAACTTTTATACTCTAGGGCCAGTGTGACCAAAAAATGAAGAAGAAAAAATCCTCCCGTTAAACAGTGTGGTCAACATCCGCAATGTAATCACGCCATCAACAATGAATTGTTATCAACAAATATTTCTTATCAGCTAAAGTTATTATTGTAACACTCTGTGTAGGTACAATATTTTTGGCATTAATTAATTATTTAACCATACAGCAATAAGAAGAGTAAACCAATTATAAAATCGTTACTTGAAAATCTGGCTTTAACTAATCAGTGGTAAAATACTGCGAAATATTATATATATATATATATGTATATTTTAATATAGCATTGTTGCTTCGATGTGTACTCACAACGGATATTTGTACACCATTATTTTTCATTTTCGTATATACATGTGCCGCCGCTATTCCAATCAAGTATGTTGTACTTCTTTGATGACTCTTTATATAAACTTCGGTGTAGAAAGGAGAGGTTCGACGGGACAACAATTCGCTAGACAAACAATTGTGTAAACCATTATTCAAACTGTGTTTTACTGAGTTTTCACAGCGAATCTAGCGTTTTAGGAAAAGTACAAAATACAATACATTATGAAGTTATCACCTCGGGTATATGGACAAAAGTCCCCACGTTTTATTGTTGTAAATGGTCCTCGATGGTAAGTAAATGGACATTGCAAACACAATAGCATAAATCCAATAGCCCAGTTTTCTTCTCTTCCATATGATATAGGTTATGATTTCTCCAACGATGAACAAATGGACTTCAACGGGCACGTACCAAGAATGGGAAAGACACTGCAAAAAATTATCATTTCTTATTGTCATTCTAAAAATTTAAAGATTTTTTTGTTTGTATCCTTCAACAGCAGTTTTGTTTTCGACATATTTTCTTAAACGCTGATGTTTTCCAACATTGTTTCTCTAATTATTATTTAAAAAAAATGGTAATTACCGTTTCGTGGTTATTGACGTAAGTGTTAATAAATAAAATGTTAGTCCACCAGTTTTTACGGCAATATTGAACTTCACGATCCATAAGCTGATTCCAAAAAGGTCCGTCTCCTAAGTAAGGTAATACGGATTTAACGAACCATATGACCATTATGTATGCTGGCAATAATCTAGGGCAAAACGGCAACTTCAAACGATTAATTTAGGTAAATATAAAAATTAATATCTATTATAAAAATAGCGTTCAACGGCGGCTTACCTGAATACTCGATTAAATACCGAGTAGAAAATATTCAGTTGTTTATTGTTTTTCATTCGGTTATTTATTGTCCTGTAAAAAAAGAACCCCGCAAAGACAAAAAATGTTTCCAGCGCCAACGTTGAAGAAATCAACCTCTTGTTTGTTAGAACCTAAAAAAAAACATTGATGTTTTCTTTTTTATTCGACTATAGTAAACGGGTGAAACTTAAAAAATAAATAAAATTTCATTATTACGCTTTCGACGTGCTCGGGATTTACTGTTGGTGTCATTAAGTTTCCCAATCTTCTATGTGTGGCAACTACCAAAAACGTCCCAATTGTTTTAATTCCATCGATAAAAGTCACATTATTATTATGATTTTTTGGCTCTTCGAGTAAATCATTCAAACTCGTTCTTATCGAAAACGAATGCAAAATGGTTTCTGAAACAAAAACAAACATTTTCTTGCACACCATTTCGTAGTTTTTTTAACAATAACTTTACAAAACAATTATTACGCACTTATAATTTCATTATTTTTTCTGTTAACATATTGATTGTCTATTATATTCATTTCGTATAAAGTCCCTGCTAAGACCGTTGCAATGATTAATAATACTATAATGCTGAAAAACAAAGCGCATAATGTTATTAAATATTACCTAAATATAATGCAATACAATAAAGCAATTTTTTAGAGAATATTTTGTTTTTGTCTTTCCTAATTGCCCTCAAAATAAAAATAAAACATTTGGTCGACAAACTAATTTAATATCCGAGTCATATTATTCCTACATCTAAGTAAAAAATCTACATTTCTTTGTATATAAGGGAAAGTGGGATTTACATTTTCGACCATTTGGATACGGTTTCTAACCGGTTGGTAAATTTTGGTTGTATACCTAAAAGCTATGAGGATACCATCAGCATGTTTTCCTAATTTAGACACCCTGTTTGGTGTGTACGAAAAAGAATTAACAGAAATATTTACCGATAGAATTTATTTATTGAAAAATTCTCTGTATCTTTAAACTCAATTCGCTGATAAATTATTCAAAACTTGAACATATTTGCACCTAATTCATTTATTATTTATACCATATTTTAAGAACAATGAAAATATCTATAAAATGTTGTGCTATTTTTTATATTTCTTATTCTCACCTCTTGTGATAACTTTGAAAAACTTTCAATTATGTTTTCTATTAACATATTGATTGTCTATTATATTGATTTCGTATTAAGTCCCTGCTAAGACCGTAGCAATGATTAATAACACTATAAGGCTAAAAAACAAAGCGCATAATGTTATTAAATATTACCTAAATATAATGCAATACTATAAAGCAATTTTTTTCAAAGGATATTTTGTTTTTATTTTTTCTTATTGTCCATTAATGCAAAGAAAAGCATTTGGTCGACAAAATAATTATCAACATATTCGAATCATATTATTCCTACATCTAAGTAAGAAATCTACATTTCTTTGTATAGACTTTGTGGCTAGAGAGGAAACTAATTATAATATTAATCTATTGTGATTTTGGATTGCTCAATTCTCCAGTCCGTCAAAATTGAAATTAAAAACAAAAAAACAACTTCTTTTGACATTTTTTTCTATTTAGCGGTGAAGGGAAATTGGGGTTTTTAATTTTTCGACCATTTGGATACGGTTGCTAACCGGTTGATAAATTTTGGTTGTATACCTAAAAGCTATGAGGTATCCATCAGCATATTTTCCTGATTTAGACACCCTGTTTGGTGTGTACAACAAAGGATCAACAAAAACATTGACCGATATGTTATAACGTTGAAACGTAGGTTCCAGCAGTGTTTGAACTGATGTCTGTATGTCTTGGCGACTACAAGAGTCGGGGACGCATAGTGCCCAATATATGTTGTCAGTCTGAGGAAGTTTAGAATCTTCATCAATCTAAAAAAAAAGCATAAATTAAAAATATCTGAACAACTGGAGTAAGTTATCATTTTGGTTTATGTAAAAAAAAAAAGGTATGCACAATTAACAAACTGGATTTTAGTCATGGTTAATCATCTTAATAATTTTTTTTAGTTACTTTCAATTTGTCCCAAACGTCGGACGCGTTATAATTGCCAGCAGGTAATCTAAACTGAATATTAGGCAAGACGTACGTGCCGTGTATATTCAACTTTTCTGAATATGCTTTCATACATTGATCATAAAGACCTAGTTCGTATTTGATGCCCGATAAAAGTCCGCTTGGATACTTTGCCGAAGAATCATACACTGGAAACCGAATTTACCAATTATTTTCATTAATTTCCAGTCAAACGTGTACATGATAATTTTAATGAACCGCCAATATAATATATTCGTGATTATGTGTTTTAAAATAGTTTTTAGAAATTCAAATGTGTTTTAAATAAGCATTTTCTTAAAAGACTCGTTTAATTTATATTATCTTACTTTGAATGGCCCATAGTTCTTGTTTGACTAGACCTTCTTTATACAGCTTTCCATCTTCGGTACACTTTGGAGATTCGTTTGAAAATGGCGTGAATGTATTCATTAACATAGCAAACATATTTCCTATCCATATTGTGCCATTGTCACTGTTTTCGATGCCGTATAGTGTTGGTTCCTTTTCACTCATATGCCGTTCTTCACTTTGCTTAGACGGTTGTGCGCATGCATTGACATTTTCTGGAATTGCAGACGATAATTGGGAGCTATAAGGTATTGTTTGGAAGTATACGGCAAACAACAAAATCATTAGTGCCTTCATCTTCAGTCACAATCTAAAATAACAAAATTCTTGATTAGAAAAATGGTGTTCCTTTACACCTTTTGCACATATGACTTCAAACATGGCAAAAAAAAAAATTCTATTTTATAATATGACCACACCATTGGCACAACTATATTTTATATTAACTATTTAGTGACTTCACATTTTTCACGTGTGAATAACGGTGTTACTTCTAAAACAGTGTGTAAAATGTTTTACAATGATAATTTTTGTGTATCAAAATTGCGAACTGTAACTTTTTCAATAATTAAAATACTAAAATTTACAGAACTTTAGCACACTGCGACAAAGTAAGTGGGAAAACATTATTATAATACTATTAATAATAATATTTACATAATAAGAAGTTTAATTATAAGTAAGTATCAAATAGAGTATTATTTAATTTACAACACAGTATAAAATATATCAAACAACCCACTCGCCGCTGAATAAGTTATGAGAAATAAAAAAAAAAACCTAAATAAATCTGTAAGCATTTATTTTTTTAATTCCGTTTTGTAAAACTGATTTTCTTGTTATATAAGAAATTCACAATCATACCAAATAAAAACATGCCTTCCTCTCAAAATTTACAAAAATCTTTTTGGTACAGTTGCAATTAGTACAATTCCGGTTTTATTTCATCATATAATTTATTTATCCTAAGTTTTTTATTAATGAAATATAATAGTGATAATTTTACATTAAATACTTTACCTGTGATTATCCGTACACTATAAGTAATATAAAACAAAATAGTTTTGTGTACTTACTTACAGTCCCAGTCTAGTACGAGTTGATCATGATATATTTCTGTAATCCTACTAAAATAATTTCCGAAAATTTTTCCCTAATTTTGTCCAAAAATTAAGCATAATATTAATGTGTTATACGATTTCATGTCCGTGTGAACATACATGAATTAAAATAATGCATTATAATATATTCCACATGATTTTACGTTATATACATATATATTACATTATTATTCATCATTGTTCAAGAAAAAAAAAAAATTTTTTTATAGTTTTTTTGCGTGGGAACTGAAAATTTTGGTTTTTCAAAGTTATCACAAGAGGTGAGAATAAGAAATATAAAAAATAGCACAACATTTTATAGATATTTTCATTGTTCTTAAAATATGGTATAAATAATAAATTAATTAGGTGCAAATATGTTCAAGTTTTGAATAATTTATCAGCGAATTGAGTTTAAAGATACAGAGAATTTTTCAATAAATAAATTCTATCGGTAAATATTTCTGTTAATTCTTTTTCGTACACACCAAACAGGGTGTCTAAATTAGGAAAACATGCTGATGGTATCCTCATAGCTTTTAGGTATACAACCAAAATTTACCAACCGGTTAGAAACCGTATCCAAATGGTCGAAAATGTAAATCCCACTTTCCCTTCACCGCTAAATAGAAAAAAATATCAGAAGTAGTGGTTTTTTTTGTTTTTAATTGCAATTTTGACGGACTATCCGACTTTACAATATATTAATATTATAATTAGTTTCCTCTCTAGCCACAAAGTCTATACAAAGAAATGAATAACCACGAATCGGTAATTACCGTGTCAGTTCACATGAAAGTGTCGGGAAATAATTACCGTAATATTATACGAAAATTGATTAAAATATGCACAAATAATAACAGCCAATTTTAATTTTTTTAAATGTAATAAAAATTAATTACATTTTTGGTGGGTTAAGCTTTTCTAGTGCTTATGACTCATCTTTTGTCATTTTATTAAAAACGTAATTGGAACCAACAAGCATTTGGCAAAAAAAAAATAGAATGTTTGTGAGTTCAGATCTTACAGTTATATTAATTACTAATTGTTTATAAAAGTTATGTTTAATCTTATATTTGGTTGTTGGAATCTGAAAATTGTAAAAATAATTATTTTTACCTGGATATTTTTTTAATTAAAAATTTATTTAATAACTATGATAAAAGCGCCAATTCACATGAAGGTGTAGGAAAACAGAATGAAATACTATCTAACAAAAAATCTGAATTAGGTAGGTATAATTTTTAAATAAATTTCCAAAACTAATAAGTTTTGCTATTTAGTGGACCAATAAAACATTTGTATTCGTTCGATTAATTTTGATTGATATTTATAAATTATATAAAAAAGAAACATTGCCATCAACCGTTAACCGATTGGGGCTTCATTTATTAATCTATTCGATGTTATTGATTTGTTTCAACACTTTTTGTGGTGGTAAAAAAAAATATTTAATATTGTAATCACAACAAAAACTATGAACAAATAAATAAGTCAAATTGTAATGTTGAATTTTAATTTTAATTAACTCGGGGTGTACAATTTTGAGCAATTTCGGATTCAGACCGAAATTTTGTCAAGTAGGGACATTCTTAATTAAATTCATAGAAATTATGTTCTATAAAACACACTTTAACTAGATTGAAGTTTGACTTTAGTGCCTTTAAGAACTGTAGTATATAACTTTAATTTAAAAATAAAAAATGGAAAAAAAGAGGGGAAAATATAAGTGAAATTTATATAATGTTTTTACATTAAAGATTAAAATGTTTTTTTTTCAATAGTTTAAAAAATGATTTCAGTACAGATTAAAATGTAGACATTCTCAAATGTAGTGTATAAGGCGTTTCGAACATTATATCAAAAATATAAGAAAAAATGAATGTAACTACGACTACCCCTATAAAATGTGGCACCTGAAAATTGAAAAAAAAAATCAGTTTTTTTGTTGCTTGGAATTGGTTAGAGTGTAAGTATAGTGAAAATGACTTACTAGTAATACCATGTCAATGTGTACAGGCACATCAGCATCGAAGTGCAATAAGAAAATGACAATTGGATTGATCAATTCGGTTTAAATCGCTTTCAAGGATGCTGCGATAGTCGGAAAAATAAATAACCTACCAAAATAGAGTCCTAGTTATTGAACTAATAATTACACATCACAGTTTAACCTTAAAATAAAGATTTTGTAAAAAATTGCCTATACTTTACTCCTTAAGGTAATCTTGTATTGATCTCAATAGTCTTCTATGAATTATGTTCTATTGTCCATATCTTCTTGTTAAAGGACGTTTGTCCGTTGAGTTTATAATAAATAAATTTAAAAAAATATTTTCCTCCCCACATAAAATGACAATGCCGATGCGGTAAGGGCAAGTGAAATGACGGATGGACTAATGAATTATTTGTTTTGATTACTTTTTAGACTCCATCGTCTAAAAGATGAAAAAAAAAGAAGAAATTAATTTTTTTTGTTAAATACAAAGTAACTTAACTTTTTTTTTAGATATAAAAAAGGGAGAAAACCCACATAAAGCACAAAAAAGGGGTACAACAATTTCACAAGAGATCAAATGTATGTATATAAATGTTTTTTCCTTTCAAAATTATTTTAAAAAAGTAGGTAAAATCGGTATAATGCTTAAAGTGTTCAACGCTTGATGGAACAAAAAAAAACAGAAGACCTCGCCAATTTCAATCAAGAGGACGAAGACAGCTCTTCTACGAAAACATGGTGGGCAGACAAGCTAAATACTGAAGAAGCCTTTGTTCAACATGACCAAAAGAATAGAGTTTTAAACTAATGCAAGGAACCACATACACGTTAAACCTTAGCAAAATCAAGATATCGAAATAAAACAAATAATAATGACAGAAAAATCGTAAAGACAAGTAAAAATAAGAAAAAATAGCACATTCAGTCTGTAACACAACATTCTAACGTTACATATTATTTTAAACTGAGTTAACAGTTAAAAGTTATGAATAATCAGTTAACAAAAAACCATTAACTTAACTGAAGTTAAGTTAATTTTTATCATTTTTTTTTTTTTTAATTAACACCTCAGCAGAGGTGGTTCTTTTAAGTATCTAGAAAAGCTCATACACTGATATAGATAAGAAAATAAATAGCTAACACTAGTATCTTGACAAGAAAGTGAATAATTATGTTACTAGTAAACAATAGTAATTATTATTATTTTTGTTGGTCGTTATTAATCGTCCACAATTATTTCTACTTAACTCGTTAATGCCCAGCCTTGAAAAAAAGTGGCACCTATTATTAATTATATTATTATTATTAATTATTGTTATACAATTTGACAACGTTTGATTTGTAGGTATAAAACAGTTTTTTTTTTTTATCTTTAAGGTGCAGTGTTTGCAAATTAGCATCAAAGCGTTTATTGTAAAGAAATTATATACCACTTTTGTTAATAATATTTCCATTAGACCTGTGACCTCTCCGACCCATTGTACTTTGTTTCCATTAACTCGACCTTATAAAAAAAATGAATAACCTTACAACACTTTTCAATGTTTCATTAAAATTGCATATAATTTACTTCTTAGTAAGCTATCTGTAGTATGACTATTAATCGATGGTTTAATCTGTAATACAATCAGATGAGAAAGGCTTGCACTATTTTACACAACTTGGGGATACTCCCACTCATTAGAATGTGGCTTATTGGAATGTGGAAAGTATTCCGAAACCTTGGCAGACCAGTTAAGCTACTCGAGTGAGAGTGACCTCGAGATGAGTAGGTACATTTACTATTGTCACAGTCATTGTAGTGCTAATACGGAAAGGAAAATGAAAACCAAAATTGTGTCAATATTGTTGATTTTATTTTTTCTTTATAAACGTCGAGTATCCGGAGAACATGTTGATAGTGATATTTTCATGACTACTCTGCCAGCTTATGCCGTTGCGGCTGAGTCGCAGATATTGGAAAGTTCAAGTTCATGTCGAAATCAATTGCAAACGTTTCACGATGCTATCGACAACAAAGAGCGATGGAGTCTAAAAAGTAATCAAAACAAATAATCCGTTAGTCCATCCATCATTTTACCTTGCCCTTGCCATCGTCACTGTCATTTCACGTGGGGGAAAATATTTATGAACGATTTTTGTTCAAGTGTTGGATGCAAGTGGACAACCAAAATCCGGGTTTTTCATTCGAAATAGATTTTGGCTTGGAGTCAAGAGCCAATGTTTGACTCTTCACAATGAAAATGTTCATTCACCACCATTTCAAGTGAACTATTATGCTGCACATATTCGATATCACCTCGAAAAACCAATAATTCATGCAAGTAGTTTTATTTTCTACCATCAAATTCGTGGATTAAAGTGTATTAAAATAATAATGTATTTATCTCCTTCTTTTGTAGAATACATTGATATTGGGACTCTGTTTGCCGGGTGTTTGCACAACGAACAATTTAAAACAAATTTTAAAAAATATTTTTGAAAAACAGAGCCCGATAGCTGTGGGCAATCTTTATGGATTGAATTATACGCTTGTGAATGTAAATGATCTCAAAGACAACTATGACTATCTCAAAAACGGAATCGCAATCACGACTATGTATGTGTATCAAGTCTAGACACTTATTTTTTTCTTATTATTTTCATTAAAAAATTGTTCTTTTTATATGTGCTCCAAGAATAATTATCATCATGTCTTTCCTGGTAATGATTATTGGTACTGCTTACGATATCATCGTGCATCAAAGAAGAAACGATGAAATAAATAAAAAATCTGTGATAAATTATTCCAAAAACAATAGTGTTGTTGGTTAGTCAAAAAATTGAATTAAAAGTAATATATTTTAATAATTTGGTAGTTTTGTTTTTTCTGTGATACAGAAAGTTCAACTGAAATCGGCCAACATAATTTAACAATAAAACAAAGTACATTTTGCCAAATTCTACTTTGTTTTTCAATTCACAAAAACACAAAGTTATTATTTGATACCCAAGAAGGAACAGCTTCAATCCAAAGTGCTCATGGTCTCAAAGTTATTTTCATGGCTTGGATTATTTGGTGTCATGCTTTAAGCTTTGTCTATGATTACACTGGTAAACAGGAATGAAAATATTTATACAATTGTTTTTTTTTATAAACAAACAATACAAATTAAACGTGTTTTTTTTAAATTTTAGATAATTACATGTTTCATTTAACTGTCGATCCAAATTTACTAACAAGTATTATCTACTACGGTAGTCTATCAGTTGACACATTTTTCTTTTTAAGTGGGTTCTTAGTTGTTTATGTCGTTTACAATCAAGAAAATACAAAAATAGATCAAGGAAAAGAACCAACACGATTGTCATTTGGTTTGGTTTTCAAATTGATATTGAAGAAATTCATCAGGTATAGATAATAATTTGATTTATTTATTTTGTATGGTCTTTTTAAGTTGGATCATTTAATATATTGTAAGTGCATTTTTTTCTTTCCAGAATCGCACCAGCTTATTTCATGTCGGTAGGCGTCGCATATATATGTTTTTCTATGATCGAGAAAAGATCCCAATTTACCATGTCCGAGAAAGTAAAAGTTAATTGTGAAAAATATTGGTGGACAAACGTACTGTTCATTAACAATTTTTTTAGCTTTGACGATATGGTAAAAATACGACTAAAATTGAAATGTTGCTTTATTCAATTACAAAAGTCATTCGCAAGTTGAATCTGTAACTAATTTATACATTTTTAGTGTGGCAGCTGGACCTGGTACTTGCCAAACGACATGCAATTTTTCATAATCGGAAAAATGTTGGCTATTGGTTCATTAACGTGAGTGAAATCCCCTCAATAATTTTTGTTTAAATTACAACCACACTATTTTAATGTACTAAATTTAATTTTCAAATATTTTGTCAAGGTATTTCTATACCTGCGCTGCATTCTGGTCGGCTTTAATGATTATTACAATAGCCGCGAGCGGTTACTATTCTTTTTCCAACGATTATAGGCAAGTAAAATCGGTTAAAAATATATTTAACGACTGTAATGGGAAATAATTGTATTATGGACCGCAAATATGTTTACAGGTTTTCTATGTTTATGGAGAAAAGAGATTTTTTGTATAAATCACCAGTTGCACGAATTGGTCCGTATTTGGTCGGTATTGCTGTTGCATATATTTTATTTAGAATGAAAAAAAATTGCGATTTAAATATGGTAAATAGAATAAATAATTAAACTATCGGGAAACTAATTAAAAATTCCAATTGAAATTAACTTACAAATCGTTGCATTGTTTATTTTTTCTAGATAACAAACTATATTCTCTGGTTTCTAGCAATTGCTTCACTTGTCGGAAGTACTTGTTTATATGGTAATATTTCATCAGTTTTTGGAGTAGCAATTTATGTTGCATTGGCCAAAACCATCTGGGGGTTGGCCATTGGCTGGATAATTGTGGGTTGTGCGACTGGCAATGGAGGTACATTAATTATTATCAAATCTCAAAACAACAAGTCTACAATTTTATTCATAAATTGGAAAAAATATTGATATCGTTTTACATTGTTAGGCTTGGTAAACAAATTTTTGTCAATGAAGATGTTTGTACCATTGAGTAGGCTGACCTATTGCGCTTACTTGATCAATCCAATTGTCATTTTCTTATTGCACTTCGATGCTGATGTGCCTGTACACATTGACATGGTATTACTAGTAAGTCATTTTCACTATACTTACACCCTAATCAATTCCGAACAACACAAAAACTAATTTTTAAATTTTCAGGTGCCACATTTTATAGGAGTAACCGTTGTCACATTCTTCTTTTCTTATATTTTTTATATAATGTTCGAAACGCCTTATACATTACTTTTGAGAATGTTTACAGTATAATCCCCGATAAAATCATTTTTCAAACCATTGAAAAAATATATATATTTATCATTAATGTAACTAAGTAACTACAGTAAAGCTCCTGGTAAAAGAAAATGTACCCAAGATTAAAACCGACAATGTTATAAATATACTGTTTAAGTGTAAAACAATATATAATAAATATTTCATATAAATTTACTTATTATAAGTTCTAAATTATAACCCATACGCTATTGATTTAAGCACAACAAAATCATTTTTTAATTAATTCATATTATTAAATCAAAATCAACGATAAAATAAATAAATAAAATTCCAATTTTTCCTTTTTTTTTTTTTTAAGACATTATTCAGGTGTTTTTGAAAAATGTATTTTTCTGGCTTGAAAATTCATCGTTTCCGATCTAAGTACGTCTCTAATCAAACATTTTAATCATAACAAATATTTATTATTTATTTAAAAGCACAAAACTGTTTAGTTTAGTTTACTTTATTAACCAACCACTTAAAATTACTATTAACTATTTGAATTGCATTTAAAATGTCAAGTGGTTGATTGTATTCAAATAGTTGTATTCCATGAAAATTAATTAGTATTTCTTTATCTTAACATATTATATTACACGAGTTATAACTGAGAAGTTAAATAATATATAGATTTATCGATAAACTCTAAACCGCAAATCCCAATATTGTGTTGTCATTTATCTAACAAAACATACTATAAATATACTCATCCGATTAATATCAAACATAAATGGTTTTAATTTGAAAAACATATTTTTTTTAATAATACTTTTATTATGAAAAATGTTTAGTAAACGGCTGTTAATCGATTAGACGACAATATTATAAATATTGAATTCTACGTAATACTTAATTAAAGTTATTATGATTACGAGACGACGATGTTAAACAAGTGGAGAAAAATGAGTTTATGTTAAAAAAAAAACCCCCAATCATTTTTTGTCGGCTTTAAGCTTTTGAAGTGCCCGCTTGACTTTTTTCCGCGTCTTTGTCGCCCTCTTCCTTTTTGCGTTGGACCATTTCTCTCAAGTTGTTTTCGCTTTCTTTCAAATTTCCGTTCAAATATTGTTTACTATTCTAAAAGAAATCATAAATTATTTATAAATATATATATTTTTTCTCCCAATAATATGCTAGGTTAATATATTATTACTTCTAAAACTTTAATCTTTTGTTCTGTATCGTCGTTGAACTTGTTCAAGTTTTTGAATACGTCGTCTCTTGGCGTCAACACAAACGCTCGTCCCAGAGCTTCATAGGTCTTGACGTCTTTCGGTATCGTCTAAAAAAAAAAAAATTAATTAATTCAACACTTTGATAGCGTAACAATAATTAATTTAAATTATCAGCTTTTGTCCGTTACTTCTAGTTCTTGTTTCGTCAAAAGATTATGTTGCTTGTGTTGGCGCAATGTGTTTATTTGTAAATCGGCCAGCTTGATTTTTTGTGAAGTGTATACGAGTTTTTCTTGAAGTTCGTGGAACGCCTGAAAACGATATTATCAAATTTTCACTAGGTATATCTATAATAAATAATAATAATATTAGGTATCAGCTACTCAAATACAATAATGTGAATACCTAATAATTCCAAAATGGTTAACCGCAATAATAATAATACGATAACAGTCGTGTGATTAAACGTAAAAGTCGATTTAACTTTTGTAACAAGCTATTTTATAAGACTGTTTCATTTTATAACAATCACATTAAGTTATTTATGCTTAATTATTTTTTCTGAAGGTTATTTTATAAAAGTACTAAACTGATTAAAATATAATTTATTGATTTTATTTTTTATTATAAGCTTTATTTTATAGTATTATAATTGTTTGTATTTTGTAAAATAATAACTAATAAGTACATCATACATATTTTTGGTTTAATAAATATAAATAAAATCAAGACAGATTTAAATAAACTTTACATAGTTATTATTTATAAGTTGAATTTCATTAAAAACAATTTTAAACACCCAATAAAAAAGCTATTGCTTAAAACAGAATTTTAAAATATTTAAACAAAAACTATATTTTTTACTAAAGTACATATTTTTTTTACGGTTTAAGTAATAGTGTTAACAAATTTTTTTAAACACATCTTATCTGCGGCGGATATCGTTAAAGGAAAAATGTCTTGATGTTTAGCAGAGCATTGCTTTTAAACACCTTATCAGGTTGTTGAGACGATACAGAATTTAAAATCTAAAGTAACTAAATAACCAAATAGGTTTTCGAACAATGACAAACGTAAAGTGGCCAAATTGATTTTTTTGGCTTTAATCTATATTAATTTCTTAAATATAATGTCAAGATGTGACGACGGTATTTGTTCGTTTTATCGTTTATCGCGAATAAAGTCAAATTTACAACTTACATTTTTGAAACAGTACTTAATGCTTGTGTTTACCGGTTTAATTAAGTTACTATCGTTTTCAATTTTGGAATTATTATAATAAAACTTAACAAGTCGGTGAAAAAAAAACTCGTGTTTGGTAAAGTAAGAAAATTATGTTATTGTAACTTACTATTTGGCGGTAATAAATTACTTTGATTACTTACTTTTCTCAAGTCCATATCTACTTCCATTTTGAAATTTAAAAGTAATTCTTGACTTTTGAGAATAATTATAATGAGTTTTTAAATAGTTTTATTAAATATTTAGAATAATATTTAGATAATGTTAAAAATTATTATCAGTGTTAATCAAACTAACAAACGCTGATAAAAAAAAAATGATAACGGTATGCTTTTTCAGTGCGTTCACATTTTGGGAAAAAATTATTGTACAATAAATTTACATTAATAATATGTTAATTTTTTTGTATTAACTAATCCGGTAGATCGCATTGCTTTTTGCAATCCGTAGCCCAAAATAATATTATTATATTATAAAACTTTAAAATAAATAATATAATAATATTATTATAGTTTATAATATAATTCAAATTCCATTGTTTAGAATCCAGCTCAAGTTGGCCATATTGATTGGCTTAAACAATGTCGATTTGTGTTTTTTAAGAAGTTTGACTTATAAGCTTGGACTACAAAATCCTGTAGAACTATTAGAAGGAGGTGCATAGTGATTTATTATTTAATTTTGAACTAACTAATAATAAAATAAGTTGTCCTGAAATCTCGGTGGAAATAATTTCACTCCCAGTCGTACAACTATAATACTTATAAAGAATCCTTAAGCCATGTTCAATGCTCAGGGAATGTAATGCTATTAATTTAGACTTTAATTATGAGGATGAATTCAAACTATGTATACTTATATTGACTGTGTCATAGTTAACCAATCGGTCTGTGTTTGCAACTAAAAACAATACAACAGTTATTTACCTATATATTAGTTGATGCACAGTTTCATCAAAATACTGTAAAACGTTACCCAAACCATCTAATAAACAAAATTGATCAATAATATTATTTTAACTTTAAACCTACCAAAAACTATAACAGTGAAAACAGTAGATGGTAAATTTAAATAAAACATTTGTATTTATCAGCTTTCATCGATAAATTGACTTTATGACGGAATTATTACTAAAAAATTATCATCATACCATTATTTAAATAGTCCTAGACCTAAAGGGAAATAGTTTATACTGTTTTATCCAGATGGAATTAATAAGTATTCGGTAATAAGTAATTTATTAATTAAGTTTAGCATTGTGCAAGTATAGTAGGTATCTGTGATAAAAAGATATTTATCAAGTACTTCGAAGTTTTTATGTATTCTAATTAAATTTATTCGTTCAGTTGGTAACTCATAAATTCTTGACTTCGTTTAATATTATAAATGTGTGATCAGCAGTTATTCATTATTACTTTTCACCACAAATTCAGGGCGCATAGCATTTGAATGTTTAAAGTGAAAATATTTGATAAAGTTGTAGAAAAATAATTTTTTAACTGTTTAATTTGAACATGGTACTTCTGAAACATAAATTATTAGCACTTTTACAAATAGATTTGTATATTTTATACTTCTTCTTAAAAAAAAGTTGATTATATAAAAATTTATTTTGTTGCACTATTTAAGTTTCAAAAATTCACAGCGCTCTTTTTTAATATTATAAAAAGGTAAATATATAATTATATCATTTATTTTAAAATAACATAAACAAAAATGTTTACCAAAAGAAAAACAACAAAATTGACATTATTTTAAGAGAAAATGAGTGTCTTACGTTAAACGGATCACCCGGTACTTGTACCTCCGGATCAGTGTACCGTTTAAGTTATAAAAGTTAATAAGACTGTGGAAAATACTGAAAAAGGTAAATATTTGGTAATTTTAGAATATTATTCTACATTACCATATTAAACTAAAGTGTCTACAAAATGAAAAACCACAATATTGCGATTATTTTAAGCCAAAATTACTGTCTTGTCCTTAACGAATTACCATTGTATGTGTTGGACTGAATTCAGTCGGTAAGTTATTTGAATTAAAAGAAAAATAATTTATTTATGGCACACAATATTGTATAGATTAAATCTTTCAAATTAGAATACGTTTAATATGTTTGGAACAATCTTCGAAAAATAACCATATAATTATTTATTATTTAAGTATTTTTGATCACAAGATCTAATAGACTGAGCAAGATTTACAACACAAGATAGCCAAGGGGAAGTTTTTTTTTAGATATCAACCCCAAGAAGAAAATTTTTTTTAAATTTAGGGTTTTAAGTTGGGTTACCAAAGCGGTTACCTAACTACCTCGATTTCCAACGTTCTCATTGGTTATTAAGATATGTGATAATTGATAAGTGATTGTATTATTTAATATTTTCAGTTTGTTATTATTTGGCATTTTGTTTTACTTTCTTTTAACGTTTCGGTTTACAAATAAGTCGTATAAAGTTTTTTACACCTTGTTTCCATAGTCTATACCTTTCTTAAAAAAGTTTGTCATTAAATAAATTTGCCTATTTTGAAGGCCTAAAAAAAAAGTATATAAGAATTATTTCCATTGTTATACTCAGAACAGGCAAGACATAATAATGTTGTCTAAATTACAAATTTAATAAATATGATGTTTAAACCTATAACGCAAGTCCATTCCTTTTTACCTAATCTACCTACATAAAATAACTTCTGGTTACCTAATGAAGGGTTATCGAAGTCGTCTTTTCTATTGTTCTCCTAAATACTCGATATAAAGAAGTTGCTCATCAAATGTGTAATTCATTATTATATACAAGTACTGCAATACATTTTAACATGCCGATTAACTTTTTAACAAACCTATTTCGGGTGATTAATTTAACAATCGTTTTAACAGTGTGTACAAAGGCTAACAAATCTGGATAAAACCCAGTTTTTACCAAATTCTTAACAAATGTTGGTGAAACCGGCTGATAGTAAAGTTGCCGAAAACCTCAATATAGAATTAAAATCGGATCATTTTAAGTAGTCGAAATGATTTGGTATCGACAAACGGGCGAATACACATTTTAATAATAATTGTTTGCTGTAAAGGCGAGACCCTCGTGGTGAAAATGAAGATTGCTGGCCCGAAGCCGACCAATGGCAAACCGACTCCGCCCCCACAGCATCTGACGACACCGTCGACAGCAGATCAGATCTCTGTGGTTATCTTGTCATCATACTATCGTCATCGGGCCATTACTGTAGCCATGGACAGCTCCGAGGGAAGACGACCCAAGTGTGCCAGGTGCAGGAACCACGGGGTCATATCTTGGTTGAAAGGTCACAAGAAACGATGCTCCTTCAAGGAATGCGTGTGTCCCAAGTGCAATTTGATCGCCGAAAGGCAACGGGTCATGGCGGCTCAGGTAAGACGTGGGCAACCATAAATTAAATAGCTTATAAAATATCACACACAGAGCCGGATTAATTAAATTCATAGTTCAGAACGAACCCGTTTGGGAAGGAAATTTACAAAAAAAAAAAAATGGTTTTTGGCTAGTGGACGTTAGAAAAAAAAACGTAAAACAAAAACTTGTACTCGATTGTTATTTTTTTCAAAAAAAATAATATAAATTAAAGGGATTGCATGCGGTGAAACAGACCGTTAAAAAACATTAAGGAGGCAATATTTAAGAAAAAAGTGGTTTTAATAAATGTCGACCATGTCAATTAATTTCCCGGTTAATTTGTATAAGCTTCGAGGTATTTTTTTTTTAATTTATAACAATTTTTCTATCAGTAAAAGTCATTTTGGCTTGTTTTAGACCAAAAAGCTGGGCAAAATTTCGACTACTTAGGATGATCCGATTTTAATTCTGTAGAAATAGATTTTTGCTTATTTTATGTAAAAAATTGGGTTTTAATTATAAAAAAAAAATTGCAAATTTAATTTATTTTATTACAAGAAACTGAAATTTTTAAACGAAAATCGGCTTCCTGCATAACATAGTAAAGTAACTAAAGAACTCGAAGCTCCTTGCAGAATTGAAATTGGTCTAAAATAAACCAAAATGGCTTTTACTCACAGAACAAATGATTTAAATTAAAAATAATACCATTAAGCTTGAGAAAATTATATAAGTTAGGTCTAATTTTCAGACCTTACGCCGCACACCTTGTTCGAAAGAGAGAAATAAAAAACAAGTTTCCCCCGAAAAAAACTAATTCTACTATTTACTAAACAAATTATAGCCGACCATTATTTTAAGTTGAAAATACATATTTAAATTTTGAGTTTTTAAAATTCGGACAATAACCGCTTACAAGCATTTTTAATATTCTGAGAGGTTTGCGACTCAATTTGTCAATAAGAATAAACAAAGCATCGCCATCAAACTTGTTAGGTGTTTTTTTTTTGTAAAATATAAATTGTTGTAAGATCAACGATAAGGTCACAATAAGCCAATAAATTCAACCCAGGTTTTTGCAATTCACTTGTTTTATTACAACGTTCTAAAATGGTTTACCACAAGACACTCATACAAGTCGACTTAAATTAAAGACATCACATTTTTAAAATTTAAATTATCTAAATTTTACCAAACTCTAGAAAATTTGTGATGTAAATCAAGTATGGCAATCTAATTAACAAATTGAAATGATGAACCAAAAGGGTGGATATTTTTTAAAAACTAGTTTTGAATCACACATAATTACATTTTGTCGACAAACCTTTTTCTATAACTGTACTTGTTTCAACAATTTTCAAGGTTTGAATTGTATATAATATGTTAGATGATCAACTACTGTTACCAACCACTACTACCTGCTTTTTAGACTTAATAAAGTAAGACGTTTAGAAGTACTAAATATGTTACAAAAAAAAAAAATGTTTTTTGATTGCAATTCTACGAAATATGCCTAAAAAACAATTAAACCATTTAATCTATATTTTAGTACAAGAAAATGTTACATAATATTCTTACCTGTAATCCATTGATTAACATATTAGTACATATTTTACATAAAATAATCAATTTTAACACATTTAACAATTAAACCATTAAGACCCGTGGTCCTAAGAAGGGGGAAATGTGCTATATTTTACTGCTTATTAAACAAGTGGTGTGGCGTCATCTTAAAGGTGCTATTAAGGTATTTTTGGCACAGAATTCACCTACTTGAACTGATTTTGTTCTCAAGGTGGCGTTGAAAAGACAACAAGCAGCCGAAGATGCCATTGCGTTGGGGTTGGCTTCTGTCACTACCGGCACTAAGTATGGATGTCTACCCCAAGGTCCTATATTCGGAAT